CTACATTTATCATACATGTATGTAAAAGTATAAATTTACAAAATATACAGCCTTTTCATTCTCAAACATAGCTTTTCACACACATGTAAAACACCTTTTTACGGTAAATGTAAATTTTACATGTGCCGGATAATACACATACTATATGAAATTCATCCACATATATGTAATGGGAGTGTAGCGGACAGTATATAGGTAACTTACACCCCCTCGCCAGTGAGCTACCTTTTCTGGCGATGCGGTAGAGTGTCCCTCTATTTCAGGCAAGTTAAGCTAGAGCGAGCCTGTTTAACCCTTGGATGGGTGACCTCTTCACGTTACAAGAGCTTTATAATTCAAGTTAACCATAATTTATTTATGTACATTATTATATATAATGTGGGGTTTATAATACACATAAACTATACATGACATTTGTGCTCTATAAAACACATGTAAACCATGAGTTCATTAACGTACGTGTAACATGTGGTTTATAATACACATGTAAACCATGTGCTCATTAACATATGTGTAACATGTTGTTGACATTACACATGTTAACCGTACGTTTATTAACGTACGTGTAACGTATGGTTGCACATAACATACGTTACACGTACGTTTCACATATGTAACACGTACGCGTATTCCAAACATACGTTTAACGTACGTTATGTGAAACGTATGTAGTCACACATATGTTATACGTACGTTGTACCAAATACGTGAAACGTATATTTGTAATACACGTATGTGATACGTATATTTCACATACGTGATACATGTGTTATGTGCAACCATATGTAACACGTACGTGGCATAATTAGCTGTGCAGTAGTAGAGCGTTCACTTAGTGATCGGGAGGCCCGGGTTCTACTCTCGTTCGCAGTTCTGCATTTTTTATAAGACACAAAGATAGATAGTGACAGTTCCTTTGCCAAGCTCTCTGCACTAAAAGTGAAAGTCATGGGTCTTTCGGATATGACCTTAAAAACGTAGGTACCCCGTCACCGTAGGCGTTAGCACGATAAGGAACCCACACTGCTTAATGACCCTGAATGGCGAGTATAGGTCTGAATCTGAAGCCCTTCATCATCATACGGTTACGTTTCTGTAAGAAAGAAAAAAATCTCAAATCGGACATTAAAAATACACAATCAAGCAATCATATTTTCAACCTCACAATCAATCTTTTATTGCTCTCATATGATTAAACAGTTTTTAAAATGAATCGTTACTGCACTCAGGTCGCCCTTCTTGTATTGTAATTTTAGCGATTGACCTATGACGTCGGTGCCGACCTATGTTACAAATACGAATCTCACTCTAGGAAACAATTTGTACATGGATTTTGAATACAAAAGGCTTCTAAGATTGATTGATGGAATACTGTTTAACGTCCCTCTCCAGAATATTTCATTGATATGGAGACGTCATCATTGCCGGTGAAGGGCTGCAAATTTAGGCCTATGCTCGGCACTTAGGGCCATTGAGCAGTGAGGGATCTTTATCGTGCCACACCTTCTGTGACACGGGACCTCGGTTTATAAAGTCTCATCATTTAGTCGCCTTTTTTACGACAAGCAAGGGGATACTGAGAACCTATTCTAATCCGGATCCCCACGGGGCCGGCTTCTAAGAAATTAAGTCATTAATTGGATAGATTGTTGTAGTTAAGGAAGGGAGATGCTTAAAAATATATTTGATCTGTTACCTATTAAAAGCAAGCTGGGGAAAAGACCTGTTCTTCTTTAAGCAATTCGATATAAAAGATCGCCAACTTACAGATAGAAAATTAAAAAGTTGAATGTAACATTTGCATAATTATTAAATCCCTAAAATATCGTTAACTTTGAACATTGAATATATCATATATAAAAATAATGGCTAAAATTTGTTATCCTTTTTTTATAGATGTTATTCAATTAGTTTGCAAACTTTTCATTCATATATTAAAATAAACGCTATTAAAACCCTATATTGTTTCTGTTATGGCTGATGTTCAATTAGTTCGCAAACATTTCTACCACTCCTCGTATATGTAAGAAAAAAAAACCAATGGGTCAGAAAAGCTGACACTTATGTGAAAGGTTCCTGAGGTAATATACATTCAAAATGCTAAGAACATGCACCTTGGAAAGAACGGATTATTAATTGTTCAGGGCATGACTGTTAAGGGTGAGGTGGGGTAATAGAATGTTGTTTAAAAAAGCTCCTTTTCTAAAATGCAGAAAAGCCTTGAGTCGTGGTTATTTTAAGGAATCCTCTTCTTCTGTAGATTTCTTTTTTTGACATCAAATCCAAACTTTATAGTTGGAGAAGATTTTGATATCCCTTATAGGACTATGGATTTTTGAGAAAATACATGTATCTGATACAGAGCTGCATCGTCGAAGTTTCTGAAATGAGCGTTGTCGTCGATAGAATTATTGATCTTCAGTTTCAACCCCATTACTTTCTTCAAATAACTCGGCAAAACGTTCATTTTGACAAGCTAAAGCTAAAGATAATTTGCTAAAAGGGTTTATATGTACATATTTTATTGGGTATTTTTTCGTAATGGGTAGTCACAAGAAGCCTTTGATTGATACAAGCATGCTCAAAATCCCAAATAGGACATAATCTTTTACCGGTATCATTCTCGCAAATGCATTCTCAGTGGGAAAAAAAATCTTGTACAGGTTAGATTTTTTTTATTGATGAATCTTTGGAAGTTCTTAATTCGTCTTGAGATTGCAAAAAATCTAATGGTTTGACATGGCCATGATCTAGCTCATTTAGCTCACTCCGGCAAGTTAAGAAACTTTGGGTGTCACTTTTTTATCAAGGTCTTATTGAATAAATTGAATGTAATGAATAAAAGTACAACAGGAATTAAATCCTGTTTCTTCGCTCAGAATAATCACATTTCAACCATTCACTGACTCTTGGTTGATTCCATCCTCACAACTCTTTGCAGTTAACCCCAGTGAGGTGGTTTTCTTTTTCCTGATTATGCAATGTGGATTCCTTTTCGTCATCAATTTTAAAGACAAATTTCCCTTTGACGTCTGGGAGAGGTCTTTTAGTATATCGTGGGTTTGGTGTGTGGTTTGCAAGTAATGATAGACTATTGTTGATCATTACGTTCTTATCAGGAATTTCTGCATATACATCTGTTTGTGAATGCGTAGGTTGTACTAACTCCGATGTTCTTTTATTTCGACAGTGAAGGAAAATTAGTACAGAGACAATGCAAATCAGAATTGATGACACAATAAATATAATCGTCGAAGGCTGTTTCAGGACATCTTTATCTACAATTCAAAGTGAACTATATCTCATATAAATGATAATTAATTATTGCATTCAAAATATTAAGAACCATTAAATTTCAATTGCATCCCAAATCAATTATATTTTGAAGAGGTTAAGTAGCTAGAGAGGGAAGCATCTGACTTTTCGCTAATATACACAACGTAAAGTGTGTTCATTCCCCTCTCTTTAGATAGTACTGTTCTATATCATACTTTTTATATTCAGCACATATACACAGGTCAGGAAGTGTTGCATATCAAGATCATGAGGAAGTTATTGTTCCTTATACGTAATTCATTTTTCATAAATAAAGCCTACATGAGCAAATAAGGAAAAAAAAATTTTTTCTTTTTTTTTTCTTTTTTTACAGTTAATCATATTTATATATAATAAAAGATGGACATGTAAATCTTTTATCTAATATTTTTTATCAGAATATTATATATTTATTTTTAATAATTATATTACGTAGAACTAAGATACATTCATATGTTTTAAAACAAAATGATATCAATAGTCTTGAATCATATTCCTCATCCTTCACATATCTTTGCAAGGAAGCATTTCTATTTAGTAATTTTAAATCAGGTATCGTAAGTATTAAATTTTACATAAACATAAGTGTTCGTTACATATAATTCTCTCCGTGGACATGTTCTGACTAACACAATGTTTACCATCATCTAACGGAGCTGGTTCAGAACAAGTGAGGATTTTAAAATGTGTTTTTGTTCCAGTGATGAAAAAAGGAACACTGACTCCAGTTTTTAAGTGCAAAACACCGTATAAGTAGAAATTATAGCGAGAGGCAAATTTAGCGATTTGTCCTCAAAAAGTTGTATTCAATTTTTAGCGAGATGTAATGTTAGCGATTTAAAAAGGCTTTGTAAAGAAGTTCTTGCATATAATATGCAATCAATTTTTGGCAATATTCAATTTTAGCGATCTCATCATCCTAGCTAATAATGCCAAAATTAAATCCTCGCTAAAAATTCTGCTTATACGATAAAACGTCCGCTGATCCTTGACTGAAACGATTATTGAAAATTTGCAGTGGCATAAGGTTGTTTCCAAAAGGGTCACCAATCTATAATAATCAAGATTCTTTGAGACAAGCATTATAAGAATTTTGCAAAAGAATATCATTTTGAACACCTTTTGAATTAGAAATATTCCAAATTGTAAAGCTTTTTTTCAGAAGATTGTGAATTTATTTACATATAGGCATTGATTTTTTCTTATATCATATCAAATATATTTTTAAAAAATCTAAAATCACAAGGGAAAAAATGAGGATTGAATATAAACGTGTATGTATGTTGAGGGTTGATGATTCTCCAGCATGCCATTAAACACATAAGAAATTAGTATTACATATCAGGATTTTGTAAACCAGTTATTCAGGTCAGCTTTAATTTTGTTTGAGTATCATCTGTTCAGAGTCTATACGATCTGCGACTGGGAAATCATTATAAATAAGGTCAGGGTGGAATAATGGGTGAGAGAAAAGTTATTTTCGATAGCGAATGAAGATTGCAGAATTGGCGGATATTTCTCGCACTGGAATAAATGTAGGCTTATAGTAATTAATATATATTGTAAAATAAAGAATTCACCAGGGCATGGCTGTGAGTTGCATTTCCTCTCCTGTGTATCCTCCTGGGAACCATTACAGTTGTTTTCCCTATTTTCTGGCTCAGAATTATTACACTCCCTTGTTCTTACACTGTATTGAACACCTCCACCACAGGTAACTGTACAGGCACTCCAATTTTTATATGGGCCCCAAATTGACCAGCCCCATCAACTACAACTGTTTTTAAAAAGCACAATATTAAATATGTAATTTTTGCACATGTACATGTATGATGTTAATATAATCTAACATATTTTAATAGGGCGTATTTTTTTTTAAAAATGCCAAAAATGTTTCTTATCAAATAAAATGCGATTTGAAGTTGAAAGAATATAGGTATAACAATAATATAAAGAATATAGGTATATCAAAGTCCATAAAACAATACAAAAACAGGAGCGGAGCAAACACGGACCTCTGAAACATCAGAGGTTGGATGAGGTGCCATCCCCTGCTGACCCGTCACATCCGCCGTGTGCTACTTGATAGCGGAAATAACGGAATAATCTGTAATCGGTTCATTTATAAATAAGTCAGTAAGACTTAAAATAAGTATGAAAAATCAGCATTTGACTCAATGATTTAATATATTTCCCGACAAGGTCATTGTATCAACTTACAAAATTGTGACTTTAAATGAGACTGCTGATATTCTTGTTTCATCAACTTGTTTGTTAATAATTTAACTTTCAGAAATTGTTCATAAGTAGAGCATACTCTTATGTATCAAATAACTGAAATATATAAACACCGTATGCAGGTACTGAAGGTATATTTTATAAGTAATGGGAATTTGACGATAAATAAGTTAAAGTCATCACTTTTCTCATAAAGCTTGCTTTAGATTACTATTTACGTCTTTTCCAGGTAAAATAAGACTCTGTGATTTATTTCAAGTTTCCAGTTCACCTCATCGATATAAGAATAGATATTGACAATACGTCGTCGATATATGTAAATGTTGAGTTGAATGCCTCTTGAAGGGTGGGAAAATAGAACGTTTTTTTTATCATGCAATCTATTTGGGGTTTTTTTTCACTTGTAGATTATTGAAAACGGAAGGAAAATTGTTTTTATACAGCTCCTCAATTTTTTAAATCGCAATTTTTATTCATTCTGACAAAATATTTCGCGAAAGTATTGTAATTATTATTATTTTGTAAGAATCCTGCGTTCTGCATAAACTAGGTATAGATACCAATCTTCTTATTTTTTCAGATCTATATGTAGTCATCTATTTGTGGGCTTTTGTATTACGAAGTACATCCCCCATTCCCTTAGTCCCCACATAATTGACCATAAATTGACAAATTGAAATTTACTGTACCCCAGAAAAAGATATCAATAAATTTCTTTCAACTTGATTCGTTTAACCGTCAAATGTCTACAAAGGATATATATTTTAATTTAGAAAATCACCTAGTTATAAATATGGCGATAGGAAGTACTTGCAATATCTACAAAGGATTTTTTTTTTATTAAATGATCACCTTGTTATAAATATGGCGATATGAAGTACTTGCATTATTCATGTTGGCAACCACATAAAATGATTGGGGTTAAAATGGTAGCTTTAATATCTTACGTATTGATTTATCAAATGAAAATAAAATTGGTATAATTTTTCCATAAGTTTCTATAAAGGGACTTATAACATACCCTTACCTTGCTCGCTGCTAAAATTGTAACATTGTTTATCTGAAATTAAAAAAAACTGTCACTTCAAAATATAATTTTAAAACACAATACCTTTTTAAAAAGTATTGAAAATTCAAATGCTTGTTTTATTCAATTTTCCTATTTTTGGTGTGAGTAGTGTAAAATATGTAAACATGTTGTATAATATTGTAAAGAAAATGTTTAAACATGTAAATACACAGATGGTGTGTAAATATCTATGTGAAAGAATTTCATACTTTATTTCACGTGCTAACAAATCGTCCGAATTATCACTGCAAAAGACCAAAGTTCAATAAAAAAAAACATCTTTTAATTTCGTATTTGTCATAAAGTTTTACCAATTTCAAAGTAAAAAAAACAAACCCAGAGACGAACTTACTTTAATATTGTTTTTAATTAGCAATAAATAATGTATTGTGTTAGGTCAAAGATGCCACCGTGTTTCAATTCGGCAATTCTCAATATATAAAATATAGGGATGTCAACGAATATTCGAATATTTATTAGATGAGTTGATATTCGAATAAAAGTTCATGGTTCGAATATTCTGTTTTTAAGAATACACGCATTCAATAGAGTGAAAAGTCTGGAAAGTTTAAGTTAAAAAAAAATCAAGTTCGTACCAATAACTAAAAATAAGATTTGAATTATTTTTATTAAATCAAAGACAATCCTGTTGGTTACTTTAAAAGAGTGAAGATTGTAATTATTAGAATAACCTATTATTTGATAATTTAATTAGTTGTATAATTATACGAGGGTTGTCCCGTAAAATCGTGGACAAGTTTTCTAGTTTGAAAAATAATCATCACTGCGTTCTGAAATTTTCACCACTTTTTAGTAGATAAATTATGAATATACATAGCAAATTTCAAATAGATATATGCATAGGTAAACAAATTATGATATTTTATTGTATGTACTGTATCGCCCTACGGCGCACGGATGATAACGTCAAAGTGTCTAAAACAGCGTCACTTTTCTTCTTTGCTAAACTTAAAGTAGAATAAGCCCCACTTAAATTTAGAAATTTTATTGATTTACATTTGTGAGTATCTATACCCAGTTAAGAAACCAATGTGGCACACTCATGCGATCTTCTGAATATCTATTAGCAAGTTACAGACAGTATTCTCACCATCATTCAACTAAAAGAGAATCTCGCATCGACGGTCGACAGTGACAGCGTCCTTTGCTATTACAAATGGCAGTCTGTCCATATGTTTTGTACTATCTTGGGACTCGACCACGAAGACTTCACTAAGAAAACTTTCATTTCATTAATATACTAAAGATCTAGTGATATTTTTCATATTTTCTTTCTTCCGTATTCCTTTAAAGTCCTTTAATGCGTCATTACAACATCCTAATCAATCTGAACTGCTCTCCGGTGCGCCGTAACGTCTTAAAAAGTCGCCATTTTTTGTGTATTGTGTCTATTACTTTCCCATTTCAATTGCTCGGGAAACTGCCAAAAATTAACCAAATGCCTTGAAATTTTAAAAAATACGACAGTATTGATTAAGGAATGGAATTAGGATAATTTTCATCCTAAGCTTGTGTATTGAAAACTTTTATTACGAATCAATTATTATGTCTTCTCTAATATAAACATGCTATTTTAACCGTGCGCCGTAGGACCATACCTTGTGCACATTCAAGCAGAATAAAATCTTTATTTTTGACTATATATTATCAAAAACATTATGAATCACTTAAATATGATGAATAAACATTTACTGAAAGTTTCAGCTTAGTGCGCCCATTACTTTTCGAGAAAAACGCTTTGTCCACGATTTTATGGGACAACCCTCGTATAGTGCTAAACACTGTTTGTATTGTTGTAAGGACACAGTTTTACGGAAAACAAATGGATCCATTGTTTATGTTTATATTATTAAAACAATCATTAGGAAGTTAATTATGTTATATAAATTTATTTAAATTTTTCTTCAGTAGATAATTATTAAGCGTTGTATAAATCTGTAGGGGTAATTTGTGTTGACCTTGGAAAGACGATCAGAGGGAACATACTAAAGAATCTTTTGAATTTTCAAAAACAAATTTTCATTACATTTTGGTTGTATACTTTTCATATATTCTGTAAAAAAACATAATTACTTTGCGTTTACAAACCTCTACGTGAAATTTTATTCCAAAATAATGACATAAAACGTACACTTATTGACAGGAGAGTGAAAATATTTACTTTGTAATGCAAATGTATTTATTTTATCAAATATTCGAATATATGCGAATACGTGTACACCTATCGAATATTCGAATATCAATTTTTGAAAAGTTTGACTTCCCTAATGAAGAAGTATTTATTAAACTTCAAATTACAATTTATCTGAAAGATTACCCACACAAATACGCGTCTGTTGAGTTGTAATTGATTTTACATGGAGGATTAAATTTTGTGCAATCGTATCCATAATTTCCCTTGATTTTTCTTCCAAGAATACTGAACTCCGTGCAGTAACCTGTTAAAAAACAATCATACATTTCACATGTACATTGTTCATAGCGGGAATTTCATGATATTTTTCATGGCTTAATATTTCCTCAGCTAACATCTGAGAAAAATTTTTAGTAAAGAACAGATTTTTTAAAACATATATTTGCCCTTTCTATATAAGCGATTGATATAATCAATAAATTCGGGAATGCACTGCATTTGCCTTCAAGGGTGGAACATCTGAATGTTTAATGTGTTTCTTAAATCAATAGTCTAGGAACTCATAATCAATTATTTTCTTAAAATCTCTGTTTTACGAAGCACGTATCAATTTCGAGGTTTTTTTTTTTCATGAATAAATAACGTTAACGGGATTTTAACCATACTTTCGTGTCATTTTTCTCTGAAAAGAATATGTTTTATAAGTAAATAGTGTAATTGTAATATATACCACTGATCGACGATTTTTTGGCGCATACTTCAATTTTTTTATTTCGATGACCATTGATAACGCAGTGGTATTGAAATGTCGAAGGATCCTCAGTGCAGTTGTGTTTGAAAATTTTCCAGTATCTTTCACAGTTTTTATCCTTAGCTAACTTGTTTTTCTCATCTTCATTTGATGGACAGGAAGCAACAATCTTCATAGTTTCCATCGACAATTCACCACAGGAGAGTAAGGATGAAGTGCAGTCCTAATTAGAGAAACAAAATAATACTTCATGTGGAAATATTTTCAGAATATAATGATATGAAAGCATATATAAATGATGCGCTTACCTATTTTTTTAGCTTTAAAATTCTGCAAGCACTATATATGGTTCAGGAAAGTTCGGTAGGTTATATAGTTTCAACATATACTGAAGGGAAAAAGAAACGCAGGGTAAACTTTTGAGGCGAATTAAATTTGTTTTTCTTAAAATACTTTTTATTTACCTACCTAACTTTTAAAATCATCTTTCAAAAAGATATAACCAAACTCTCGTATGATTTTGTGTAATTATTCATGAGTTATTGAAGCTCAAATGACGATACCCCCCAAAAGGGAAAATTGAAAACTCTCATTATCTTCAATGTCCATCTCGTGCATCTGTCAGAGTCTTATTTCTCCTTTGCATGGAATTTCATCAGAGTGTTTATCTTTTAAACCCTGGCTATATTTAGCATGGGTAACCACGCAAAAAAATAAGTCAAACGACGCGCGCATGCGCCACTGAGAGGAATACAACAGTAAGTTGACTGGCTCAAAAAACCAAATTGCGGAATTGTTTTCTTTCAAATTTCGTATGAATGTAATGATTATAATCGTGTACACTATAAATGGCTGTTTTTGTGGTAGTAAGGTGGCGATTTAAGAGATGGCAGGATGAATAACCCGCTCGTAACATGGCTCTGTTTCGCGTTAACGTCAGCGTCACGGTTGATTGAAATCCACTCCAGACCCTCTCTGACAACGGCTAAAAAGTTTTATGGGGGAAAATTTACAAGAGACTGCTTAGTAAACCGTTGTTGCCTTTTTCATTAATTAGGGAATTCGAAAACAAGACCCCATTGAACTTCCGTAAACTGTGCCAAGATTGCAATAAATTCATAATGTCTCTTAATATTGAAAAACGATGTGCATACCTCATCTGCATCAAATAATGCAACAAGATTTGTGAACAAACACGTCGTTATCAAATAGCACGTGTTTTGGGCTTTTTAGCGTTTTCCCTACGTGACGTCATAAATTTTACGGTTGAGTAATTCTGAATACTGATTTTGATGCACAGTAACTAAATTTCCCATCTGACCAATTTTTGTAATTTTCGGTCATGTGGTCAAATTTTTATCGACAATTATGCTACCCTGCGTTTCTTTTTCCTTTCAGTATATATTTTGAATGGTTCATTGAATACAATGTATATGTACATCTTTTAGCCTTTCACGTTTTGTTATGAACAGCATTTTAAGCAATGGTAAGAAATATTGAGATGAAAAATTAAATACATTTATGCACAATACAAAATAAGAACAAATAATACACGATTTTGCGATTTTACATTGATAATGTGCAAATGCCATCTTGAAAACTACATATTTTTGAATGCTCAAATGATGGTAATTATCATATCGTTTTAGCTAACATTAGTCGAAGGCCTGGGCTGAGAACCATTGAGCTGATTTAAACCAAACTTGGGACAGAGTGTTCTTTAGTTGAGGGAATTCAAGTTTGTTCAAAAGAAGGACCGCGCCTTCTTCCAAGGAAGAAATCTTCTAAAAAAAAATACTGGGCCAGGAAAAACGACTGTCATGTGAAATCATTCTCAGATAGTGTAGATTCAAATATGTTTAAAACAAGACACCACAACCAAATGACCAGGCAAGATGAAACTCATGTTGAATTATTTTCAAAGTAATTATGTTTCAGCAATAATTTCATGGAAGCATCTTTAGCCGATCTAAAATTGTTCAAAGGTGGTAGAATGGGGCCACATTTTGGAATAAAGGTTTTTCACAGAAATATATACATGTAGGCATATAAACGAAGAACAATAATAGAGGGAAAAAAGACCTTCCACATTACACCAATCTGTTATTATGTATGATTTGCTGATAAAGGCTATCGCATGTTTATTTCATAGAAAATATCATATAGTGAATTGCTTTAGAGGGGTGCTAATTTTGGCTTTTTTGGCGTTTTGATAGTAGTCCACTAAAATTTTAATCGCTAAAATAGCATATTCTCTTCCAAGTGTTCATCCGCAAAGAGCTGAAACTCTGTGTCCTCTAAAAGAAAATACATTAACGGCATACCTTTGAGCAGGTTAAACGCCAAATATTACACCAGCCAAAAAAAACCCGCTATACGGTAAGTTATTTGGATATTCATTACAGTACTTTAAAACGAAGAAAGAACTACTTACTCTTACTCTTGATTCCCGCCTAAATTTTGCACCCATTAAATTCAATTTTAATGGCAATTTGGTCATTAAATCTTTGTTTAATACAAAGAACAGTTCTATGGTAATTGATTAATCATTTTAATTCCAGCATTAGACAGTAAATTATCATTAATTTCAGCTCTCGAAAAAGGGGGGTAGACAATATTTTCTAGTGAACTTTCAAGAATCACCATATTTTGAAACAGTCTTAAATATGATAAAATGTATCTCATATCTTTTCTTACGTTTTATGCATATAAATAAAACATATATATGGTAATAAAATACAGTTATTAAGTTGTAAATGGCTTTAAAATTGGTGAAAATTCAGCATTTTATCATTTTTTGTCTATAAACATATGTCCCCCTCCCCGTGAAACACAAAAAGCTTTGGCATAAATTTGTAAATTGACAGCCCATGTAACCAGTAAAAGGAATTTTTGTTTCACGGGGGGGGGGGGTTTAAAAAAATATTTTCCGTTTTCCATTGATTTCTATAGTGAAAAACTTAAGTTTTACCAAAATTATAGGGTTATCTCTCTTTGGTATCCAAAAAAAGTAACGTTTTATTAAAATTCATTTAAATATCTAAAAAAAAAAAATGAAAATCATTCGAATATGTTAATTTTTGAAATTGACTTAGAGGTAAGCGGGAGATAAATGCTAAATTGTTTTCTTTTATCCAAATCCGTATTTGACCTTATAGTTAGTAAAGCACGGAAACGCCGTGCATGTATCTCTTGCGTGAAACAAATAATAAATATCATTTATTTTCTTCAGATACGAGGCCCTTTTCATTATGTTACAAGTAGTCGGCGATTCCTACGGGGAGGGTGTGTTTTCAGAAGTGTTTTTGACTATTTTGGAAAGATACTTTATAATGTTGAAAATGCAACGAGGGGTTGGGGTGGAGTTGGTGGTGGAGCTTCGAGCATTCAAGATTCAATGCAGCTAGGTTAAAGACTTCCAAAGGTAGATCAGTCTATGCAGAGCTTCGGGAAGTCGATTATGACGTCACAGTGAAACTGCACACATGAATCTCGGCGAATAAATAATTAATTTCTTTTTCATACACTTTTACATACAGTGATGTGTAACTTATCTTGTCATAACAACGCTATTTGAATGTAAAAATAAAGCCAATTTGATCTCGCTGTTCTGGCAGATATAACGTCATATACTAGTTTGACACGCAGTTTCTCTGCACTTGAGACACAGATCAAGCTATAATTGCAACTTATAAATGTGAAATTTAAAACTAAATAAGCGTGGTCTGACTTAAATTGAGTAATATGTTTGAATGCATTAATTAATATTTCACAGTCTTTTTTAATTGATAACAAATATGTCTCTTATAGAGCCGCAGTCGCGCACTTCATGCACACGCCCTCGAAAATCTCAAAAAATCAACGATATCCTCTTAACTATGAATTATGATATTTTGTACACATGTAGCTATAGTCTCTACTATTTTGATAAGTGCTGGGAGCAAGTTTTGCGCTGTTGATTTTTTTCTGTAATTTTACATTATTTCAATGCGTACAGTGTAAATGCACGAGGTTTTTAAATATACGGCTACATTTAAAATAATTTCCGTGCATTGGGAAGTTGCTCTCAGCACTTCTCGGGTTAAGAAATTTGTCTTTAGAAAACACAATCAATTTCTTGTTGAAAAATTATCCGTATATTATTAAACTTTTATAATCTTTGTATCCGTTCATATTTTTCTAATTTTAACAATGTCACGCGACATACAGCTGATGTACGTAAAGTCGCTTTGGCCGAACTCGGTGGAGACCCCATACATACATATACATTAATTAGTACAATTCCCATTAAATTTAAGCTCATGCTAATAAAAAAAAAGATATAAAAATTATATTGATTATCTCGGAATATTTTATTAGTTATCCAGGTTCAATCAAGGGTGTACGGGGATTTACCCCGGGTTTTATTCCATACACCCTGAGGCCGAAGGCCGAAGGGTGTATGGAATACAACCCGGGGTAAATCCCCGTACACCCTTGATTGAACCTGGATAACGAATTTATTTCCTCTGTGATCATAAAAATGCTTTGTAATCATCTAGCGTTTGTCTCAATCTATCTATTAGATAACTTGGTTTTTATCATAGAGAATGTATGCATTGTGACGTCACGTTTTATTTACACCCGGCTCAAGTCGGGTGCACGGATATTTACACCCGACTTTGTAACCAATCAAAGCTCGTGTTACAAGCTAGATAGGAAATAATAGGTCATATTTTCTATGGGCGCCATTAACCAAGCTGCGAAGCATTATGATGAGGCGAATCTGAGTTGGTGCAAATCTCATGTATAAAGTTGATTGCTGGTATATTTTAGACTCCAGACATTTGAACAAAACAAATGTTACAGAATATGTGAGATAAATTAAGACATAAATAAAAATAAGCTTGTATGCAAAGTACTTACATTGTAGACATGTAATTTGAAATGATTGTAGAGTGGTAGGTCAACACACTCAAGGCTACATTGCTAAAAACTTCAATTTTCTGCTGATATTTTTTTTGTTTTCAATAAGACTATTTTCGACTTCAAGTCATTACAGCTACATATTAAATTAGCCAGCATTGCTATTCTATAGATGTTCTATTCATAATGATTCATTATAAATAATATTCACACAGCAGGTATAATGTAAGTCAAGCATATGTATACAGTCATGTACTTTTAAATGTAGCGATAAACGTACATGAAATATTTTTCTACTTAATTAAATTGCTAAAGGAAACAAAATGTATTTGTCTTATACTTTTTGTAGAAGAAATTTTTGACAAATTTGAAAATGTAGCAGTAATGATGCGCATCCTTAGATGGCTATATAAAAATGGTCAAATTCTATAAATTTTGTTTGTGAAGCTAATAACATTGCCGTAATATAATATGTCCTGATTCTCACATCAAACAAGCCTAAAAGATATTGTCATAAAATCTTCTTTAACGTATAATTCTATGTTTAAAATGGCAAGTTCCTGAATACTGTAGATCACTAAATTTTCGCGACACCTTATTTTCGCGAGATAGTCATTGACTCTTGATTAGCGAGACAAAATTTTCACGAATTGTTGTTATTGTTCTATATAATCTTAAGGAATACTTTAATACGCGATAATTTAATTTTTCGCGAGCACACTGTCTCGCGTAATTACGCGAAAATAAAGTTCTCGTGAATAAAAAGTGATTTACAGTAGTATTATGAATTGATTGATTTGAGAGGCTTAAGATTATCTTTTTTTGTGTTAGATGCTTATAACTGTAGGGTTTTAACAAGTATTAGTTGTGCAGAATGCATTGGTAAATATGTAAATAAATAAAGCGGAATGATTCAATACATATTTAGGTATGACTTTTTTTTCAAAATCCATCACAAAGTACATGTAACTGGTGATAGGAATATACTTGTACAGTCTTATTACATTTGAGAAAAAAACATAACATTAAAGATTATTTAAGTGACACATATATTTTTTTCAGGTTACCCTTTAATGGACATTTATGCAGGAAGAATAATACTATACGTAACACATTCTGAACCATGCAAACAATGAAATTCCCTACATCAGAATGTTTCATTCTTAATATAAATGGAATTTACATGTATGAACTAGAAAATAATTACAAAATAGGACAACTACTATCATCTCCTAATTTTTAACTTATAGGAAGTTGTTGATTTTATCGTGTATGATTTTTGGTGTGCACAAATTTAAAAAAAAGCTGTTTATATTATTCGTTTCCTACGAAAATACTGTGTTAAACCACCCTAAAATCACGAAATCTAAAGTGGCATTGCCATTTCCGGACTCCGTCCGGTATTAAATTCGCTAAAATTTAACTTTTGTATTTTGTGATTTATTTATTATATGTACATGTTCATCCTAATTATAGTAAAATAAATACACATTAATTGTACGACATACCCCCCTCCCCTCCCCCGTAAAAAAAATACTTGGATTAATCATGATTCAATGATTATTTTTAGAACCCTGTAGATTTTTTCATTTTTATATTCCTTTATTCCTTACTTAGTTTATGTAGAAAAAGTCAGATATAACACAATGGGTACCAGTAATTTTCAAAAAAGGAAAAGAATCATTTTTTTTTATTCCTGATTAAAAAATATGCAAAAATGATTTGCAGTAAAAAGGCACCTAATTTCATTAATGACAAAGGGCATTATATTTATATTTTTTTACAGAAATAACAAAAAAAGTTTCTAAGAAAATTTTAATGGGGACACACCAGCAAATATGTTAAACGAACCTCTTATTTTACATTGGCAGTGTAAATTGAGACTTGTTCCTATTAATATTAAATATATTGAAAAGGAAATGAACAAGCAAACTCAAAACGAAAAAAAGATTAAATAAAATAAAAAAAAAAGGGGATTATCGGAAATGAATCAAAAGACTCATCTTTCTAAAGCCATGTACTGTAACGTTAAACACTCAAGAGGAAAAGAAAAGAAATGAAAAAAAATTAATCTAATTATCTAATTAAAATTTTATGTAGCGTTATATCCCCTCTATTGCTAATGTAGCCCCGAACTACTGTACTTTCCTGAAATAAAATATTTAAACTTGAAATAAGAAATGAAACTAATGGCCTGCATGAATTCTAGATCACTGTTTATGTTCAAGTTTAGCATCAGCTTTACCCAATGTCACTGTTTTCAGTTGATTTAGGCTATAAATACAGGAAAAAATCATTGTTTGTTTTATTCATATTTTATTACGCACAGTTTTCAGACATAAAAAGTGTTCAACACTTGCACAAAAGGTGATCATGTTGATGAAGGCCTAAGGATAAATAAATCCATATTGGTTTCATCGTTTCATCGTTTATGACATGCTTGGCTATACATAAACATTCTTCCATGTGCATTTTCTAATAATTACGTTAAAGCAATATCAGATATTGAAGTATCAATTCACTTCCTGATTCGAAAACTTAATCGACATATCGGGCTTTTCCGACAAACGGAGACACAACGTGATACAATGTAAGTGATAAGTGTTACTTAAATGTACATTTCCTCTTTTTAAAAAGTGAAATAAATGTTGGAAACGATCGTGACTAATCTGTATAGTCTAGATTTCTACCGGAAAGGCCCAAGTAACGATTACGTTTAAAGCTCAAAATTAAGAAGAAACAGGCGGTTATCGATATGTTCATGAACATTTGACAGCTCACAAATAAAAGTATGAAGGGTCAAAAAGTAAATAAATATTCAGCTATCTTTTTTTTTTAAAGTAAATCGAATAATCGTTGTTTATTGTCTTTAGTGGATATCCAGTGTAAGGCGTGTTCAATTTTGTTTTTCCATACAGGTATACATTGCTTAGATATACTTATCACATGAAAACTTTTAATCAGCAAACAGCAGATGAAGCTTTAATTCTTTCTAGTGCTTTTAAGACATAATTGTATTCATGTCACAAAGATCCCTTTTAGAAACTCAAATAATATGTTAATGTATTTTGCTTTACACTTAGAAAAGTGAATAAAGTACTTACTATGAAATACCAGAGCAGAAAAGAAGAAATTGTTTCTCTGGGACTCATTTCTTGGAACACCATACAAACAGGTTCCTGTAAGTTAAGAAAACAAATACCGTTCAAAAAATACTTATTGTAAGACGTATGTTACAAATTAATCCAATAAACTTTACCGTAAAGCCTCAACAATAATTGAACCGTTGTCTGACGACAAGGAACTATTTTATTTCCTTTTGATGCTTATACACAATAATATTTTTGTGCATGCACGAACTTTGCAATTTTATTTCTCATGAGGAAGTTAACATTCAGTCTATAATTTATGTCTATAAATATACATTTTACAAAACCCCTCCAATCCAAAGATTTGAACTGCACTCCCATGCCTGTGATGATTTTCATTTTCTAAATAAAATATTTCGATGTGAAATCTTTTTGAATTAATGAACTTAATTGAGTATTAGTTTTTAATATATATTGTCCAAATAATTTTAATAATCATAATGTGTTAGACAAAATAAGCCATCAAATTTTCTGATTTGTTAGAAAAAGAGATACTAAAACAGCTAGGAAATTCAATTTGTTGAATCAAGATTTTTAAAATTCGGTTACTAGTTTGCATGAAAAGGTTTAATATAATTTTTTGCATGAAAAAGAATCTAATTCTATTTCTTTCTTTTTTTTTTATCAAAATATGAGTCTGAGATGAGAGTGCAGATTTTATTTGCTGATAATTTCCTACCAACAACTTCCTAATAATGAAGAATTTTATATATTTTTTTTTACAAAACAAACTCAATTATCTACTGTTTATTTAGCTAATGAGAGTGGGTGGAGGGGGTTAGCTGCATTTCGTTTGCAGAATTTTTCGTAATTATCAACTTTTCATTGCTGACATTTTTTAGTTTTAATTTGCGACATTTTTTTTTAAATTTGATTTCTGACTTTTTTTCAGATAGCACCTTTAGTAGCTGATTTGAAGTCATTACATATGAAATATTTATAGAAGAAAATCATAAATAAATCATTGAAATCCAACTTTTCTATCGTTAACTTCCTTTACTTATGCAACATATACCTTCATCATCTGCATATGGAGTTAATATACCTGAGTTAATTCGATACGCAAGAGCATGCTCTACATCTGATTAATTTCTAAAACGAGATAAATTATTGACAAACTATCGAGTTGATGAAACATGAATGCCAGCAGTCTCTTTTAAAGTCAACATTTATATAAGTTCTATGGTCGATATTTATAAATTGTACATTAACCCAGTCAGCAAAGAAGTGTAGAATCTATCATTGAGTCACATGCTGACTGACGTTTTCATACTAATTGTTAGTCTATTATTCATAGATACACTGAATTGAGGACGGATTTTTCCGTTATATTTTCATCGTGACAATGAGCTACAAGGCGGGTTTGACCTGTCAGCAGGGCATGCTTATTCCTCCATGGCACCTGATCCCACCTCTGATGTTTAGGGGGTCTGTGTTTGCTTTGCTCTTTTTTGTATTGTTTACTGGATTTTTTTTTATCTTGAATACTGTCCATCTCAATATGTTTTCTAACTGCTAAATTAAAAACAAATACAGGGGTAGAAATGTTATAATTAAAACCAAATCTATATCATAATTATTTTTTTTTTACATTTAAAGCTTTTATCAAAAGTCACAGATATCTTGAAACCTGCTTCAGTATAACGGTGTGAAAACCAATCAATATTAATCTATTCTTCATTCATTTTTTTAATGTTTAGGCTGCGTTATCTTGAAATTGTACCATGACCCATGGAGAGATCGATCATAGGCAGTTATGCCTGTTGTTCAATCCAATTCAATGAATAAGATATATATTTTTAAGTAAAACCTGTTCTGCAGACAATTCAGTGTGTAGATAGTAATCTATCAAACATTCAAGCATAATTCAATTAAATGGTAGAATATATGTGATAAAAAGCTCATTGTATTGTCCACATTCATTGAACTTTTATCACGATGAATTTGAACACGAGTGTTAATATTATGTGTTCACCAATATGATGTCTAAAGCATGTCTCGCTTTATAAATAGTATGTTTTACCAATCGAATCAAACACATACGCATGGTATGCTTTAAAATGCTGCATAAACGAGGGAATTTCAAAGTTGATGATGAAAAAATCAAGTATTTTTATATAGTTTTGTTGTTAGATGCTAATTAATGTATTTTTCTTGCACAATATCAGGCTTAAAATAGATGTGTCAAATTAAACATTGAATGCGGAAATTCAATACGTGATGTATTTTCCATTTTGTATTATTGTGCAATTGGTACACAGCTGATACCTAAATATACCCTGACAACACATGTCCAATTTCCATAAGGATATCTCCACAAATATTTTTTTTCATTAAAAAGTGACATTTAACTTCAAGTATTTTTGGAGAAAATAGAAAAAAGGAAAATAGATAACTTTGAAATCTGGAAATAAATATGCTAAATTCTGGGTCGTCTGATAAAGATGGTTGCATAATTTTCTTAAAGATCATTATGACATTTGTTAGTTTATTTTTATTTTTATAAAGCGTTGTTGGGGATTTGTTTATATGGCATATTCATAGACAACCTTTAATTGGAAACATGGTTCAAGTTAGAGTGCGGTGGTCCTTTGGAATATTATATTCTCTCTGCTAGCATTAAAACATTCAGCACAAAAATATTTGTACAATTTAACAAATGCGAATTTCTTACAGTTAATGTAATATTTTTTGTAAAGATAGAAATAAGCCACTCTCTCCTTTAATTGTTTTTTGTTTCATTACGATCTACGATAATTACAAAGCAATGATTAAATACAAAGCAAACAAAAAATTTAACGATTAAACAAATAATTTTCTTAATTATTTTATCTGATAAAGGAATAAAGGTTTTCCTTTTATTTTAAATAAAACTTAATTTCACGGTCGTTTTAATAGTTTTTTTGACGTTAAATATAACAAATACATCATCCATATACATGTCATACAGTATAATCTAATGCCCACTCATTGAAAAGTTTTTTTTCTAATACTTGACATTTATTTTTAAGAATTGCTATCGTTAATGGGCGGCGGAAAGGGTAAAAAAGACATTTATGCAAAGGCATAACTAGTTTTATAAATATAATGAAATACAAAACAGACAACCTTAAAAACAAAATCAACAAACTCGTTTGCATAATCAACCGACTCCGACGCAAAACCAATGATTACCAATGCAAATCCAATGATTATTCACTGAATTGTTCCTAGATGGCTTGCCAAAAACATACATTGTACATTACCTGAATTAACGCTTGATGGCGCGCAAGTTTTTTACGTCATTATTATTTGTATACTTTCATAGGAACATAAATGGATCAGGGCCACAATTAAAGGGTGAAGGTCAAAAGGCTAAAATGTAGCAAATGTAGGAAATCCGCATGCCTACCTTTCAATGATAAAAATAAAAGCATCTCATATGTTTGGGAAAATTTCTGGGTATGGAATAAAAGTTTAATTTCTAAAGTTTATGGCAATGACATGCATCAATGTGCATTTCAAGCATAAATGTTGGATAGAAATTTTTATCGAAATCAGAGTTCATTTGGTTTGTTTACACTTTTGAAGCCATGCAAGAGCTATTCTGATGTAATGACGTCAGAAATTTATAGAAAACCAGGGATTACCACATTGAACACCCCTATTTTTAAATGTGAAAATTTATTTTACACATTCCTTTATCATGTAGAAAAAACACTTTGGAAATGAATCTTTTTTAAAAAAGTTTCAAAGAAAACACATGTATTAATTAACTATATATAAATTTATTTGGACTTTATTTCATTAAATTAATCAATTGAAATTTTAATTTAAAATTCAAGCAAGGAGTTTTTTTTTTTTTACATCTATTAAAGTTGTACACGATTTCTTAACTTTCTTAGAATAAAATCTTTAATGAGGATTGTTTCTAAAACAAATTATGATCTTTATTCCGTAGATAAGTAGATTTGTTTTATTAGAACCAGGTAGTATTTAAAATAAATGTTTGACACCAGGTAAGAGAGCCGTACAGGTATGTTGATGGTCAACACACACAGGCCGAGATGTAATTTACGGGAAAAGGGGGTGGTGTTGGCAGCACAGGAAGACAGTATACTGATTAGAGAGGAAAATGTCCATGTCAGTTTTCTGGTAATTAAAAGGAAAGCTCTTTGATCCGACACGCAGATGCATAAAATTTTCAGTATTTATCTACGCCGAAATAGGTAAGCTGTTGAAAGTCACATTGTGTTTTTTCCTGTATATATATATATTTTTTTAGATTATCTAATGGCGGATTCAGTTGCTGAAAAACTTCTAGTAATTGTCATGGTATAATAAATTGAGCAGAACATTGTTATGCCTTATATTTTATAATGTTGATTTTTTTTAATTTAGAGTACAATTGCATCAGCTTTGGCCACGGCATCCCGCTGTGTGAGTCAATTAACGTTTGATCAACACATTTAATACATTGCCTTACTTTTGGAACTACATAATTTCTTAGAACCAAATGTGTTAAAACATTTTAAGAAGGAATGCCACATAAACTTTTTTTATAGATCTCTGATTTAACCTTTCTAAACAATGGTTTCAGCATTGAAGGCCGACATTAGCTTTGAATTATTTTTATGATATTTTTTTTTCTAATTTATTTCAAAAGAAAATGAAGAAAAAAAATTCTGAATTACATGCTTTCTTGTAAAAAAAAATGATAATGAATGCATTACAAGAATATATAACAAAATATGTAAATAAAAGTCGTATAGATATATATTTTTTTAAAATAAAAAAAATATTTATGAAAAGAAAACATAATTTGTGAATATTTCTTAAACTTGTGATTTAAATCTTTATGAATCAGTCACAACTGGGGAGAAAATGTTTGTTTATCATATTTATATGAAATGTTGAAAGGGAATTTTAGAATGTTTTTTATTTTGGCCAACCAATCAAAATTAAAGCGATCCAAAGCAGTATTGTTCATTCATTGGGAATATATAACATTTCCCCCTAAGAACGCTAGTCTGAAAACTTAAAGGCGTAATATAAGGGTTAAATGATAGTTGAACTTGAAAATCAAATGGATTACTTAATTGTCAATACATTAAAGAGACAATAAATTAGTATAGTATTTCATTTATTTTATGTTAATTTTGATAAGGATTTGTATAATTTTGATTGGGTTAGGTCGAAATATAAAAAAAATCTACAATTTCTGAATTTCATTCCAAATTCTTTTCAAAATATGATTGACTAATGTGTTCTCATCAGTTTTAATTATTTTATGATGTTTTAACCATACGTTTAAAAACTATTCACAGATAAAAACTGTTTATAAAAAAAGATAAAACAATTCCTACTTGCAAATAACAATAAATGTTATAATAATTTAAGTACAGTAATTACATCCCCTATTGGATTTAACTGTAATTTCACTAATTTGTATATTTGAAGACCGAAAATAAATTTATCGTTATAGGAAAAAAAGATTTATTGTAATAAGATATATACATTACATATACATGTATACACATATAAAAGAAAATGCATGATATATTTAATTATACAAAATAAAGGGTAACAAACCCCTCTTATATCTTGAATTTATAACGTAAAATGAGAAGATTTATGAAAAAATGCATCTTTAGAGTTTTATAGAAAATACAATAAATGTATAAACGGGAAAAATCATTTATCTGTAATTCAATAAAAATTTCGAATATTCCCTTCATATATAAATAAAAAAATTGGTTTAATTTTTTAAAAAAGGCAAATTCCTTTCATTTGTTCATTGATTACTGTTTATACAGCAGTTTTATGGTTATATATTTAATTACTTGTTTGTTTAAAAATTCTAACTATTCTCACATAAAATGTTACCTTTTCCTACCTGATGAACTCTCTCTGCTTACTGCCAAACATATTTTAATTACTTTTCATATTTATATTGATATCTTTTTTTTACAATTTCAATATGTAGATCAAACTAATAAAAGTTTTTGATTATATATACACTAAATGTTTAAGATTAATAAAGATAACTTTGTATACCTGAGTTTTATCTGTGTACACTGAATAAACTGATATCAGATTTTCTAGTTTTCCCCCTTCTGTTCTGTATTCCTTTCCACATATTAGCAACATCCCTATTTAAGCATGTGACCTTAAGGTGGGAATTCCAGATGTTATGAACACGAGATGTTTCATTTGGTTAACTAACAAAAGGTAAAACTTACTTATTCATCATAAAAGTTGAAGACAGATGATATTAAGTAAATAACTAACTTAATTAGATTAGACTAAACATTGTTAGTATTTCTACTTTCGTTTTGTCAGTGTCTTTTGTATTCGCAGTTGATAACATCAAGTAAAAAAGGAAAGATTATTTTTTCCTTGTTGACCTATGGAACGATATTCGATAAACTGTAGACATAAGAAAAAAATATTTTAGGGGGGGGGGGATACCTTCTATTGAAGAATGTTTAATTCAATTCAAAGGATATATATGATAAACGAGGTGAACGCTGATACTAAAACAAGTCCGCGGAGAAAATAAGTCCCACATGAGTCCTACGTGAGTCCCACAGCAAAAGAGCCAATAATTAATATAATAAAGGGTTATTTTGAAAGAATAGGATGTTTATATGATCATATATCAAAACACGTTTGGATAAAATGTTTTAGTGTGTTAAATAAACGATTGTAAATTTCAGACCACAATCAAGAACGATAACTCTTTTCAAATGTAAACAATGGCCAAGAACTATATTGGCAATGTTTAAATACTGCCCAAAGCTATTTTTTTCTAAAAGAAAAATTAGTCCATTGTAACAATATTTTTTTTTAGTAAGGAAGTTAGTAATGGTGTTATTTCTGAATTAAGTTTGTTTTTCTGTTTAACTTTAATTTTTAAGTTTCGTTTCAAAATATCCTTCCAACGTATATTATATTCACTTACAAGTATGTTTATTTTATTCTAGTTTATACCGTATACAGGAAAATTTTCGCCCCAGTTTTATTTTGCCCCTTTCGCCCTCCTCCTGATTGGGCGAATTTATGACGGTGCGAATTCAAATTACACAGCATAATTTCTTAAACAAAACTATGACTGGGCGAATTTAAAACGGGACAAAATATTTCAAGTGCAAAAGGGCGAAAATAACATGGGGCGAAAATAACCCTGTATACAGTATTACTTTTTTTACAAACTAAAATACCTTTACTGTGGTTTTATGTATTTTAACAACATCGTGAGTTTCTCTGACACCCATGACAGACCTAATGTTTATTGTGTATATACACAGAGACCAATAGAGATACGTTCCTGGTATACCTGAACATAACACTTGGGGGATGTTATTCACACCTTTCAATCTCCCTATTCCTTGTATACATTATACAATAGCTTTTGAACAAGGCTGGAGATAGGTTGCACCAGTTTGAATTCCCAAAAATATATTTAATTTAATGTTAGTTTAGTTTCAGAGGTACTTTATTCATAATATACAAAGTGTACAATATGAATAAAGATTGAACAGCAGGCCAAGTGCCTTTATTTGTTCTCTCCATTTCAGATGAATGTACAATTAAATTACTGAAAATAGTTTAAGTTCCACAAAACATGTATTATGAATTAATAGTGAGAGAATTATAAAAAAAATAATATATGCTTTGTAATGTACTTTTTTTCTTTGTTGCATCTTACATCTGATAGCACTTGTCATAAATGGTTTATCTGATCGTCTAATGGTCACTGCTTTTTTGGGTATATTTTTGTCAACAAAATTTTCTCTGAAAATAAGATTATAAGAATTTTTTGCAACATAACCTTACTATAGAAGAGTTGAAATTTCATTAAATAATACCGTATAACTTCGTTATAATATATATTTAACTATCGCCTTTGTGACGCTACGATGCTTTTCAAACGAGCAGAAATTTCAAAACAAAATAATAATAAATAAAATATCATTTAGAAGTACCTGTAGTATTTATTTCTGTGTCACACTTAAAAGGGAAGAGCCAGTTAAACATAAAATCATCTATGTACCATGTCTTCCTCTTTTTTTTTTTTACTGTAAATATAATAACAAGTTAATCGTTCGTTCGTATGCTCGTCTAAGCAAGTATTCGTCTGTAAACTTTTCAGATTCTTAATTTCCTCTCAAGACCATTTTGCCTTTTAACCAAAGGTGTGACAAATTAAGAAACTTGGACAAAGCGGGTTTAAATTGTAAAAAAAAACCAAACAAACATGAAGTACTAAAGCCTTCGAGAGGAGGCTGATAAAATAAGAAAAAAAGGTTGAATCATGAAAAAAAATAATTCACAAGACCCACGAGGCTTGATTGACCTTTTTGTACAGGGCCCTGTTCCCTCAAGGTTTGGGATTTGCAATTCAAATTAGTAACAGACTTTGTGAAATATAGCATGGCATCGATAAATTACTCTTAAATAAGGAATTAATTAATTTCAACGTGAAGGCTTTTTCTATCCACTTCCTTATTAACCCAAGAAACTCAACTTTTTTTAAATTCAAAAACATTGAAACATTCATTTCTTGATGTTGTTTTGGTATTTTGGAACCTTAACTTACATTTCTGAAAAAAAGAAGACAAAAACAGAAAATTTGTTAATTGATATATCAAATGCAAGTGTAATTAAGCAATAAATGGTAAAACGTGTGGCTGCCTTCAGTAGTAGTGTACATTTTAAATTGTTTTCCTATAGGGAAATCTTTGAAAGTCCTTTTCTCAAGAATCTGAAACTTATGTAAAGATCTAACTAAAGGTAGATCAGACTATAATTGTTCGAATAACGGCCCCTGAGGTTTTCCTAAAGAACCACTTGGCCAGAAATGGTGAAACTTAATATTTAGAAATTTTCTAAGGTGGTGTAAATTCTGAATTGTTCAAATAATGGCTACTGGGAGTACATCTAGGACTGGGGCGTTATACTAAGTTTTTCTTTGAATTAAACAGGAAAAAATTGGCAAAGCACTACTGGGCCAACATAATGAAACTTACATGTACACATGTACCAGGGGTTATCTACTAGTCCGCGTACTTTTGTAATAAATTAATGCTTGTAAGCCTGTGCTTACAAAATGTATAAGGAACATAAGAAAAGAAGAAATTTTGAACATTTTAGCTGGAAGCGATAGTAATTTGCCAATATACATTTATATAATAAACTATAAAATTAAAAAGACATATGACCAATCGGCACTGTCGCTGTTTTGTTTCTGACGACGTCTTTGTTTTTCAATGCCCGTCCCCTCTCCCTCATACATTTATTGATGAGATTCCTTGGAGTTAAGTAAGCACCAACTTCCCTTATATGAAAGTTGATATGACCTTAAAATGTTATGAACAGCTGTTTTCAATGCATATATTATAAAAGGATCTTTACATATGAAAGGATCCTCAATAAATTATGCACATATATTTTGCTTGTCGGAGTACAATATCTACCACTTATGATCAAATTCACACTTCGACATAACTGACTTTTGACACCCCGACTACAAATCTCTATTTATATCTAATATCTGAGAATTTTTTTTTTTTGCAATCAAAAAGCAAGACCATTCTTCGTAGATTTTTTTTCTCTGTCGTCTGTTTAAACATTTCATTTCCTGGGTCTTGCAAAGTTTTCACTATGTACAAATAATTAACAATTCGGTTCGCTTAGGTTTCTTCCCTAAGTATCACGCCTGTAATTTAAATCAAACGAATTAATGTTAACTTCCTGGAGAAGACGATGCATTAACTATGAAAACTATAAAATCTAGAATGGAAAAATAAACAAAGTCGTCTTAAGATAATTTTCCCTATCTTGAAAATAATTAAGTAAACAAAGGTAACAACTAAACAACAGAAACTTGCATTGAGCCAATTTGAATCAAATTTGGTACAGTACATTCCTTGTGCTCAGGGGAGTTTATATTCTTCAAAGCAAGGAATAATCCCCCTCACAAGGAAGATAATCAGGAAAAGGCAAAAAAAATGGATGGGTAATTAAAAATCCTCTTCCCAAGAACCACTTGGCCAGAAACGCTGAATCTTATGAGATAGCATCCTTGTGGTAGTGAAGATTATAAATTGTTCAAATCATGACCCCGGGGAAGCAATAGGTATTCCAAGTTTTACATTGAAAAATAAAGGGAAAAAATCTTTAAAACTCATATTCTTCAGAAAAACTGGATCAGAGGAGCTAAAAGTAATACGGAAGCATTATTGGGTGGTGAAGACTTTGAATTGTTCAAATCATCACCCCAAGGGATAAGGCGAGGCCACGAAGGGGAATCTAAAGTTCACCTTTAAATATAAAGAAAATTCTTTTTTCTCAAGAACGCTGGGCCGAAAAAGTTGAAAGGTATGTTGAAAACATCCCGAGGTATTGTAGATTGTAATGTTCAGTCCATAACTATCGAGAGTAGAAAAGTGTCACAATAAGGAATTCAAATCTTACATTGAAATAATCAATCAGAAACCAAACAAAACTTTAATGAAAGTATCCCTGGGTAGAATAGATGTTACATTATTCAAATCATGACCCCCGGGGATCGGTTGGGGTCAAAATTGGGCATCCAAGTTTTATATTTAAATACAAATACAATCCTTCTTCTCAAGTTCCATCGCGCAAGAAAAGCTGATATTGTTTGGGGATTTGGAAGAGTAGAGTCTAAATTGTTCATTTTTTTTTACTTCCGGGGGTAGGGTCGGGTCACAGTAGCGGGCATGGGAAAAAACATTCAAAAAGTTACTTGGGTAAGAGATATGGCACATGGAACTCTTGTTTTTTAAGAAAAATATTGTCATGTTTCGCTATCACAGCTGAGTACAGTACCGACCAGACCCAATCTGACACCAAAGCAGTCCCAGAAAGCAGTCCCTGGGACTGCTTTGGGACTGCTCTGGGACCGCTATGGGACTGCTCTGGGACTGCTATGAAAAGCAGTCCCAGCTGCCCCTGGGACTGCTTTCTGGGACTGCTTTGTTCACTCATGTGTGACAAAGGTTCTGAGTGACATGATAGCTCCGCCTCCTTGTGTATTCTGAATTTGCAGGCTCCCTATTGTTTTGTTTACTTGCAGCAGAGAGGAGTTTTAACTGTTTAATACGCAAGGATTTCTTATAATCTTTTAATAACTGGAGATTACATGTATTATAGTTAATTTATAGTTTTTTGGAACTGTATATTTACACAAATGTAATATAGAATATTTTTTAAAATAAAGTTGTTATATAAGGAAGTGAGGAGGAGATTTCTATTTCTAAAGTATATAAAACTACTCATGAGAAAAAAAAAAATATCTACATGTAGATTTCTTTTCTTATTAAATCTGAAATTAAATACTCAAAATTTTCATATGGCACTATTTAAAAAATCATTACATTTAGATATAAGATATTTTAATTGAAAAGGCTAGACGTTTTACAAGCACCACACTAAAAGGGTAACACATACAACCCTCAAATAAAAATCTAACAATTTATTTTATGACATGAAATAAAATTATGACACCATTCTTCCGTAACATAAGCAATCTGAACAATTATACGGGAATTTACAGATGAATTAGTTTTTAATTTATGAATAAGTTTTTAAAAGAGTAAATTAAAAAAAAATAATAAACAGTTAAAACCTGTAATACCTGGAATTGTGATTTATTTCTTTTTTGTTTTGCTTTTGTTTACCTGGCCAATAATGTGTATGAATAAAATGGTGTAAACACCTGTGGTTTCAATCGCCTTTGGGCAGAAAATCAATCATGCATGTTATTTGGGTACACCTATCAGTGTTACGCATCATTGAACATGCTCCCCAATAAACAATGACCCTAATTTCAATCTATGTAAAAAAAATGTAATGCATAAAAAAGATGAATGAAATGTGTATAAATTTCTTTCAAAATTAATTAATGTTGAACATAATCTTAGGATTCTATACTGGTCACTAATACAATTTACAAATAAAACAATAATTTTTAAATTAACATGTCAGTAAAGAATAATCAATACTGAAAAATATTGGCTAAATTAGCATCAGATTTTTCAAAAGCCCTTATACTTTTTAAAAAATGCCTTTAAAGTATCCCGATAGTATGGAAATCGTCCGTGATGTATAATAAATAGATCTATTTAAAACTAATTCTGGTGAAAAATAATTAATTCAATTTTAATTTTCTGTATAGAAAATAAATATGGGAGTCAGTATCAATCACAAAAACCCAAGATAATTTTGATTAAATATACATGTTCAGTGTAATTCATTTATGTAGGTGTGTAAGCTTTATTCCTTCAATAAATTTATTTCAAATTGTTTCAAATCTTTGCGGGTACTGCTCATACATGTAAATGACCTTCACATTGTAAGGATTCCTGGCATACTGCTCAGAAAAAAAATTCAGCTGCCTTTTATAGTTCCATTGTTTATTAAAAATCTCATTTCTGAGTTAGCCCCGCCCATTAAATTAGTAAACCCCGCCCACTGGGACTGCTTTCTGGGACTGCTGGGACTGCTTTCTGAGACCGCTGGGACTGCTGGGACCGCTCTGGAACTGCTGTGGGACTGCTCTGGGACCGCTGCGGGACTGCTTTATCAGTCCCAGAAAGCAATCCCTGGGACAGCTCGGGGACTGCTTTGTGTCAGGTTGGGTCTGGTCGATACTGTATGTCATGTCATTTTAGAATCTTTAGACATCTTAGAGCGTTTGTGCTCCGTTGGCGTTCTGCGTTCACTCACCGTTCACACATCGTTCCCCAAGTTGCATTCTGCGTTCGCACAACGTTCAATTAACGTTCGCTCTGTGTTCGTTCAGCGTTCATTCTCCGTTCAGGTGGGAAAGTTGAACGTTTCAGGGACTGAAGGACCGGGTCATTATATTAAGTTTTTCTTTGAAACACACAGGAAAAAATTGGCAAAGCACTACTGGGCCAAATTAACGAAACTTACATGTACACGTGTACCAGGGGTTATCAACAAGTCCGTGTAGTTATGAAGTGATATAAATGCTTTTAATTGCGTGCTTACAAAATGTATAAGGAACATAAAAAAGAAAAAAAAGTTGAGAACTTTGAACATTTTAGCTGGAAGCGATAGTACGAGGGGTTATAAAAAGCTTTTGGACTAGCGTCATGAAATTAAAACTGCTTTAGGTACATCAATGAATTTCAAAATATCTATTTAGCATCATCTATGTCATCTAAAGAATAAACTATAAATCATGAATTTTATTTTCTAATAAATTAGTAATGTTTTTGAAAGCAATGGTATGTCCAGGCGGCGCAACCTCGAAAACGACTTTTTTTGCAACCTATGTGTAACTGAGAAAAACTCTTTGATATGATCATTGGACATCCGAAATTCCCGTTAATTCAGGTATGTGTTGGGACACAATTGTTCCATAAAATATGAAATGTTCACTTCAATCTAGAAGTCCTATGAAATTTTATCGTAAATTTTACACGGAATGTCCAAACAAATGAGGCCTTGAAAATGAAGTCAAAAGGTGGGAAGGGTTTCCGTTTCCAACATTCTATAAAGTTTTGCCTCTGAAAAAACTGGTATAAACCGTTGAATACGTTGAAACTGGCTAGATAGAAATAATATGCATCCAGAGTCCTTGTCTTTTAATTTCAAATAGATTCGGAGACAAATGGTTTAAAGCCGGTTTGCTAATCAAGTTGTGAAAAACCAATCACGCCAAAAAATGACGTTGATCATGTGTTGTAGATATCTCCCTATCTGGATAATTATTAAGTAAACAAAGATGACATCTAAACTTGCTTTGAGCCAATTTAAATCAAATTTGATACAATACATTCCTTTTATATTCTTCAAAGCAAGGACCAACTCCCCTCACAAGGAAGAAAACCAGGAAAAGGCAAAAAATAGAATGGCTTATTAAAAATCCTCTTCCGAAGAACCATCCGGCCAAAAACGCTGAAACTTATGAGATAGCATCCTGGGGGTAGTAAAGATAATAAATTGTTCATATCATGACCCCGGGGAATCAATAGGTATTCCAAGTTCAACATTGAAAAAAATCTTCAAAAACTTATTCGCTAGAAAAACTGGAGCAGAGGAGCTGAAAGTAATATGGAAGCATTCTTGGATAGAACGGGGCCACTATAAGAAATCCAAATTTTACATTGAAATATATTTAGAAAAATCAATAAGAAACCAAAAGAAACTTAAATGAAAGTATCCCTGGGTAGTGTAGATGTTAGATTGTTCAAATCATGACCCCGGGGATCGGTTGGCCTCATAATAGGGCATCCGAGATTTATATTAAAATACAAAAGCAATCCTTCTTTCAAGGACCACCGGGCAAGAAAAGCTGATATTGTTTAGGGATTTGGACTCTAAATTGTGCATTTTTTTTACTTATGGGGGAAGGGTCGGGTCATAGTAGCGGGCATGGCAAAAATAATTACGAAAGTTACTCGGGTAAACGATATGACACATGGACCTTTTGTTTTTTTTATTTCATGTCTCGCTAATACAGCTGAGTATGTCGAGTCATTTTAGAATCTTTAGACAAAGCGATCAAAAAGATTTAATTGAATTAAACTTTTCGCCCCCTGTTTAATACTGAGGTAAAGTAAAGTACAAGTCTTCAGGTCATCTACCTTCCAACCAATACATCTTCATAGCGTCATTTTTTGTGAAATTGCACCTCTCGTATACAAAGTTGTGAAGAGGAACGATAACATGAAACCATGAATTTGGTAAAATGTAAAGATGGCATGCAGCACGTATAAAACCAGTGACGTAGCATCGTTTTTGAAAAAAGAGGGAGGGGGGGGGGGGCATCCAAAGAATTTTTACTGACCTGTAAAAGTTCATCGGCATAAAAACAATTGCCCTATCTCGTATTTTTTGGGGCGTGGGGGCGGGTAGAGGCCAACAATTTTTAGTGTCAACTTCTTCCAATTTTTTGCATACAACACTACATTTTTGTTACATAACTTTATTGTAGTAGAAAGTGAGGCGTCCTACCAACCTTTTGAGGAACATTTCAAATACCGAAGTAAAGTTGGTAAAAAAAAGTGGCCTAACATGCCTGAAAACCTCATGAACATTTACAATATGAAAAACTTAAAGGTCCATAGCTTGTTTGTAAATCAACAAATAATGTTCAATTTTTTTACTAATCAATAGATGATGTCTTGGTTAGGAATTGTAAAAGTTAAAATCGGTTGAAACTGTATCCAGACCCCTTTAATTGATAGAAGAAAAAAAAACTGCCTAAAAAAACTCGTAAAATTTATTATTTACTTTTGTTTAATTATTCTTTTTTGTCCTTTCTTATGTTATTTTATCTTATTCGAAAATGTGAAACATCAAAATCCTTTTAAGCAACTCACCTTTTTATTTATTCTCTGCAAACACATAGTTCGACCAAGACAAAAAAAAAAAATTAAAAATAAATAAATGAATTGGATTTTTTTTTCATGCATTATATTCCATTGTTTTTAGTTTTAAAAAGAACATAATCTGTCTTTGTTGAAAGTCTTCAAAGTAAGAAGCCCATTTTTGAAATGCAACACATTTTTAGGAAATTTATCTGGTAATTTCAACAGAATTTTATAATTAAGGTCTAGCTATACATTTAACAACTGTGGGGATCGATTTAAATCATATAACATTATTAATCTAGAATTTTAATTTTATTATTAAACAAGAGGTGGTAATTCTAGTAAAGAACTACTAAGGACAGGAAAAATATGACATTTTAAGATCTTTTCCAGATGCAGTGAGATCGAAACAAAGCATGGAGAATTTGATGCATCCCTCTATTCTTTTTCTATACCTGCTTATAACTTTCGTAAGTATCGTTTCTTCTGTAGCCTTATTCAATTCATTAGATTGCAAACTGTAATAGAGAATTAAATTTAAAAAAAGTTGATTGAAAAGTGTATAAAAAGTGTATTGTTGAAACTTTGTAGCTCACTTTCTCGGCGACACAGCGTTGTCCTTTGTCCGATAGGACAGTAGAAACAGTAAAAAAGTGTCCAGAGGATGAAGAAAGCACAAACACAAGCGCACGGATAAAACAATGTGAGAAGCTTGCAAATATTCAGACATGTTCAAGTCCTTCAAAATTCAAGTATCACTGTCTACCTACCGATTTATCAGGAACACTAGTGGAAGTATGTGCTGTTGAAAGATATATATATGGTAAGTAAATATCAATGTGTTTATTTCACCTATAATATATGAAGTAAAAAACTAATTATGGCACGTGAAAATAAGGTTATATATGGAAAATGATGTAAATTGTCGTAATTTATGGCATTTACGGCTTTCACGGACAAAAACATTGAGTTACTCTACAGTGGCATAATAATGGAGAAGGATATGGAAATATCAAACAATATTCAGTCTCAAGTCCATAAAACAATACAAAATAAGAGCAGAGCAAACACGGACCCCCAGACATCAGAGGTGGGATCAGGTGCCATGGAGGAGTGATTATCTCCTGCCTACCGGTCACACCCGCCGTGTGCTCCTTGTCATGATCAGAAAATAATGGAAAAAAATCCGTCGTCAATTATTTGTATAAATAATGGATTAATAATTGGTATGAAAAACGTCGGTCAGCATTTGACTTAATGATAAATTGTATTTGCTGACAGGGTTATTGTTTCGACCATATAACTTACCATATGATTACTTTAAACGAAACTGCTGATATTCTTGTTTCATCAACTTGCTTGTCAATAATTTACCTCGTTTTAGAAATTGTTCATACGTAGAACATGCTCTTGTGCATCGAATCAACAGAGATATATGTACTCCGTATGCAGGTGATGAAGGTATATTGCTGCATAAGTAAGGGAAGTTGACGAAATAAAAGTTGATGTGATCACGTTTTTCATAAAGCTTTGTTGTTAGATAACCATAAGTGTCTTTTTCTAATAATATTTTTATAATAATAATAATAATAATAATATGGAAAATGATGTAAATTGTCGTAATTTATGGCATTAAGGGCCTTCACGGACAAAAACATTGTTTTACTCTACAATGGCATAATAATGGAGAAGGATATGGAAATATCGAACAGTATTCAGTCTCAAGTCCATAAAACAACACAAAATAAGAGCAGAGCAAACACGGACCCTCGAGACATCAGAGGTGGGATCAGGTGCCATGGAGGAGTGAGTAATCCCTTCTGACCGGTCACATCCGCCGTGTGCTCCTTGTCATGATCAGAAAATAATGGAAAAAAAATCCGTTGTCAATTATTTGTATAAATAATGGATTTATAATTGGTATGAAAAACGTCGGTCAGCATTTGACTTAATGATAAATTGTATTTGCTGACAGGGTTATTGTATCGACCATATAACTTACCATATGATGACTTAAAACGAAACTGCTGATATTCTTGTTTCACCAACTTGTTTGTTAATAATTTACCTCTTTTTAGAAATTGTTTATACGTAGAGCATGCTCTTGTGCATCGAATCTTGTGCATGTCGTCCTTGTCGTCGTCGTCGTTCTTGTCGTCGTTAATTTTTCAAATTTTTGACTTCTTCTCAAGAACCACTTGGCCAATTTCAACCAAACGTAGCACAACGTATCCTTAGGTGGAGGGGAATCAAGTTTGTTCAAATGAAGGGCCACGTCCTTATTTAAGGGGGGATAATTGAGAAAATGTGAAAATTTGATGGCATGTTTTAAAAATCTTCTCAAGAACCGTCGCCCGCGTGGCGCAGTGGTTAGAGCGTCTGCTCTAGAGTCCCAAATTGAGGAATCAATCCTTACGTCGCGGGTTCGAATCCCACTGTGGGAGGTGGAGACCGGTTCTTTGGATGAGACCGTATAAACTGAGGCCCAGTGTCGCAGTAGGTGCTGGAACGAAAAAGATCCCTCACTGCTCAAAGGCCCTGAGTGCCGAGCATTAGACAAAATTTGAAGCCCTCCACCTGCAACTGGCGGCGTCTCCATGTTAGTGAAAAATTCTCGAGAGGGACGTTAAACAATTTACAATAAATCAATCAATCTTCTCAAGAACCACTGTGCCAGGAAAGAAGAAATGTAGTGTAGATTCAAGTTTGTCCAAATCATGACCCTGGGGGGATAGGGGGAGGCCACAGTGGCTGATCAAAGTTTTGCAAAGAAATATATGGGAAAATTCTTTAAAAATCTTCTTCTCAAGAATAGCAAAGGCATGAATGGTCATACTTTTATGGAAGCATCCTCAAGTAGTGAACATTCAATATTGTTCAAATCATGATCCCTGGGGGTACGGCGGGACCACAACATGGAATCCAAATTTTACATAGAAACATGTAGAAAAAAATCTTCTTTTCAAGAAGAGCAAAATCGTGATTAGTCCTATATGAAAGTATTTTCAGATAGTGTAGATTCAATTTTGTTCAAGTCATAACCCCTGGGGATGGAGCGGGGCCACAGTATAAATTCAAATGTAAAGGGCAATTAAAAGCCACCGGTAGTCAAAGAAATATGCATGCAGCCTTAGTTAGTGTAGATATAAGTTTGTTCACATCATACCTTCTACGTTTTAAGGATTGCTTGGGACCACTATCGGGTTTAAACTTTTCAATAATAAACTAATTTCTGTTTTTTTTCCTAGCCACATTGCCTAGGTGAGCGATGTGGTCCATGGGCCTCTTGTTTTTTTTTTTTTTTCTTTAGGGGTAGCAGTAAATGGTACATACAATTTCAATGCGCAGAGTAATGCAATTTCATACGGCTACATAAGGGTTATAATTTGAATTTAAATTTAGAAAACACTAATTCCACGGCAACTTTTCTTTCAAATGAATTGACATCAGCAGTGTGCTAACACGGTTATTGTGTAAATTGCAAATAAAACTATATAATAATAACATTATTTTTTTCTTATTCAACATTATTTATACTTAAATTCTCTGAACAATTTTAATGGTATTTTAATATTGTACACAAATTGATTTAGTTAGGACTAAACACAACAAGCTGCATGCATATGACCTAGTTTCGATAGTGACATGTGTGCGGGAAAATTTTGCTATTAAGATACGGATTACATTGTTAGAGATAAACCAAATCAATAAGGCAAATTATAAAAGGGGTTATACATAAATTATCACTATTTCGTGCTTTGAATATTTTTTCCTAAGATTGGTCAGGACTAGTGGTTAAAGGGTCAGGGCTAGTAAAAATTTGCCATAGTAGCCCGACTGGTCTAGTATGCCAAAAGCTTAATGCCAAATCCTGTTTCTTTTGGAGGATTATAGAACAGATCAATCGAAAACTCAATGAATGGTTAAAATTTCAATAACTATTTTTCAGTACTCTTCACAAATATATTTTTCTTTGTTACAGGAATATGTGTGCTTTATAACAACACCGAAATTCAAACAAATGAAAGCATTAATTGTAGCCAGTCTTCTAGGTGTCCAAAAAGATTTTTGTCCTCAGAAGCACATCTGTGTGAGTTGTTTATGATTTAAATTTAATCCGATTACTTTTGCAATTTGAACATTTCCAAAGAAAATGTTCTATTTGTATCGCTGTTTTAGATGAACCTTGCTCTCCTAACGACTTAACAACAATTCAATTCTTTGATACAACTGTCACGTTTGTACCAGAAGATGAGGCAAAAGTGCATTCCGTTGTGTAAGTTTACTTTAAAATATATATGTCTGTATTTTAAATCACAGTATATGTGAATTTGATTATTGATTTTTTTTCATTAGATTATTTGCAGCAACAGGGATAATTTTTCTTGGGATCATCATTGGATTCTTCTTTATTAAAATTGTGAAATGGAGGAAAAGACGACAAACAAATAGATACGGTTGGTACAATTTACTTTAACATTGTGTATGTATAATATGTATTATATTATGGTTTCCTTCGAGTGGAAAAGGTCAGCAAGTGAGTCTAAGACATTAAGAAGAAATAACTGAGAATAATAATTTAAATCAATTTTTTTCTTTAAGATTATCTTTAAAATAAAGGTTCATAAATGTCAGCGCTGTTCACCGATTTTATCTTGGATATATGTAGTGATGTGTATGAATGAATAAGAATGACAAATAAATATAAAAAATAATGAAAAAGGATCTTAGACATTATTATATTACATGAGCTATTCATGTGACCTAAATGTATTACTAGCTGTTTTTGTCCGTCGAAGTGCGTCTTCCGTCGTGCGCTGTGTGTTCAAATTTTAACATTTTAGCTTCCCCTCTTCTCTTAAACCACTCAACCTATTGACACCATCTTTTGCAAAAAGCATATGCATTTTATCAGTGAAAGGTAGCAACAATTGTGAATTTAATGACCAATCGGCCAGGAGTTCCTTTGAAAGGGCGCTATTGATTATACTGAAATAATGCATTTTTTTTCATATCTTCTTTTTTGCTCCTGGGTATAAAAAACCTAACTTCATAGTACTGTTGTCATGAACAAGATCCCATATTCCAATTTAAGTGAATTTCATAGCCCCAGGGTCAGGAATTCTAGTGTTAAGACAGGGCTCTATTGGTAGTGTAGTAAAATGCATTAATTCTTCGAACATCTTCTGTGCTCCTGGGTATTAACCAGACATACTTACTATATGGTTATGATGAAGAAGTGTGTCTCTTCCAAAAATTGAGTTTTATGCCCCAAGGGTGAGGATTTTTGGATTTTTGGTTTTGGGCCATGAATCTGTTGATTATATTGTTAAAATATATTTAGTCTAAAATTATTCTCATCTGCCCTTGGGTTTTAAAAAACGAACTACATGAATAGTTATATTGAGCAAGGTCCCTTCTTCCAAATTTGTTACTTTTATTGACCATGCCAATGAAGCAGGAGTTCTGGTGATAGGGTAGGATTCTATTGATTTTTAGTAAAATGAACTAATTCTTTATAACATTTTTATCTCCTTCGAAATACTAATGATGAACAATGATGTTTATTTGAGAATTGTGAATTTCATGACCCCTGGGCATGGCCACTGTAGAGTGGAGTTCTCTAATTATAATTATTTACCAAAATGAATTTATTCTTTGAAATCTGCTACTTTGTTTTAATCAAATATTAGGAAGGGACCCTATTGATCAATCAGCTGTAAAGTGAAGATGCATTTATCTTGTTTAAAATCTTCTTTTCACCTGTGTCCTAATAAACTAAATGTATAGTTATGATGAGGAGGGGTCTCTCTTCCAAACTTTGATATTTATAACCTAGCTGCAGAACTGTAGCTCTCTGCTTGAGAAAATTCGGACAGATAAAGCAGAGAGCTACAGATCCAAGCGTTGTAAAAACCTTCGATTTACGCCGACGGTTTTTTGTCGCTCACTACGGGTATTTTTTCTTGTATTTTATATCATCCCAGCTTTGAAATTAATTTCAAATGGTATTTAATAATTAATCATACATTAAACTTCAATTCCTGATAATTTACTTACCTCTAAACGCTAGCAAATTGTTGTATGTTGTCACGGACGTCGAAACTCGACGAAAGGGAACTCTTTTAAACCGACATTACAAAACTGTATACAGGGCTGTTTCGGAGCGTTAAAAGCCAAATAAAGTATGAAATATATGAGTTAAATATATTAATTATTCTAGGATACCATTCTGAAAGCCAGAGAAAGCTTTAACTACACGAAATTAATATAGCGACGAAAAATCGTCGGCGTAAATCGAAGGTTTTTACAACACTTGGATCTGTAGCTCTCTGCAGCTATTTATAACCTACATCTTAGTTTTCTTTTTTTTCTTTCCTTGTTTTTTTTTTTTTTAAATCATACTAACTGAATATTTTCTTTTCTCTTTCTACAACTATTTTTGATCGTATGTTTGAATAATAATGATACATGATTGATTTTTTTCTCTAAAAAACACTGTGATCTACAAAAGTAACAAAGTAACAAAGAAACCAAAGAGACTGAATATAAATCATGAGAAGTACATAATCATTTTTTATAGAAAGTGTTAGTTGATAACACAGTCGCTCCTTTTGATTCCTTGCAAAGAATTAGTATACTTATAACCAAACATTGCTCAAAACTTCCTTAAGAGATAAAAATCAATGTTAACAAGTGCTCTGGGAGATGAATTCAGTTGGTCATTGGATCAAATCCTGTGAATCCCGTAAATTTGATTATACACCTGTTAAAGTTCATTTACGAATAAACGTTTTAACTTGTTTATTTTCAAACATATTGAGGCATCGCATGACAAGGTCTCCACAAGGGGTTCTTTCATGGTGGCCCACTAAGGTTAAAAGTATTTGGGCCAATGTTAAAGGATATGCCGCCATTATTATATTTTATTGCATTTTATCATTGTCACCTAAAAATTGCAACTTTTATATACTGCGCCACCTTTTTAAACCAGACAATAAAGTGTATCCTTTAAATAGGACTAATATGTGTAGTTACCACATATTTGTCCAAAAGTTAAAGTTGGATTAATCTATGTGCAATGTTTCATAAATATATATGATATTGGGTTCCTACAAAACAATGTTTAACTACGGATTTTTGGGGCAACCTTCGAATATTATATAGGTTACCGTAAATTTCGATATATTTGCTGTAGATAAATTTTCAGCAAATTTGCGAGCTCTTTGCATTCGCAATTTTTTTAAAATCAATCACCAATAAAAAAAAATGTAAACAAAGCAATGTTCATTAGCAAAATTTGAAACGTAAAAATTAATCAACAACATTTTGACCCGAATTGCGTATTTTTCGGGACAACTTAAACAATAGAAAACTTAATTTGCAAAGGAATCTTATATTCAAATGCAAGTTCTTCATTTTAATGATATACTATAGAATATATCGAATTGTAAAGATGAGCTCAATATTTCACAAGGCATAGTTAAACTAGACATAAACATGAGAAAAAAGTGTCATGCTTATTTTCCTCGAGGAGGGGAAAATCCTACGACATGTATGACGCCACACATTTTCAAAGTAAGTGGAACAAGAAAAACCTACAACAAATTTTCTTCAACAACCATATGAAATATTTTCTGTGTTCCCTCATCATGCTTATTCACAAAACATCTACCTGTTCCATTTCTGATCATGAACCGATTTTCCTATTTTAATTCTCTCCGTTGTTTTAATCGTATATAATCTTACTGCACTAAGACTTCGACATCAACGATTTGTTAGATGCGCAGTGTAGGGAAAAAGAAGAGTGGAGAAATATATTCCGTAATCTGTTTATATTTTGAAGAAATTTTCAAACCTTTCTAATATGTTTAATTCAAGAAGTGAAGTTAAACAAACTGTCACAAAATGATACATTTATACTTTGTTTTAATATGGTATTTGAACATATATCATCAGAGACTATGACGCTATTAAAGATAAAAGTCTATCTAATATGTCTATTAGATTATCTATCAGTAATGAAGATTAATTATAGTAACTTAATCTAGTTGACTTTGCATTCACTTATTTCATTTCAATTTCAGGCCCCAAAGAAACAGAGGAAATTATGCTTGAAAATGGTGAGAATATGCATTGAATTTTCAGTTCCATACAGATAACACATGTTCAAATAAAATGGAACATTAACAAAAAAAAGGATTCATGTCAAGCTTGACAGAATTATTGATGTATAAAACATTTCACAAAAGACATAATGAACATAAATCAATATAAAGCAGTGTATTCAGGCGGGTTTTTATTTTCACTCATACAGTGTATTGAGGCATCTAATAACAGGGTTTTCCACGAGCGGTTCTATCATGGCGGTCCGCCGTGGTTAGAGTTATCAGGCGCGGATCCAGGAATTGGAGTAAGAGGGGGTGCCAAAAGTAGGCAAGGGGTCTGGGGGCCGCCTTGAGACCCCCATTGGGTCCAGGGCAAAGCCCGGGAGGGGACTCAGGGGGCGAAGCCCCCGCAAGCTCCTGGATTCTAGATTTTTTTTTAGGGTAAAAGTGAGGTCTCTCAAGTAGACATATTTACATTTTCTAGACGAAACTGTGATTTACGTAAACTTTGACAATTTAAGGTGGCGCCCCCTTTAAGGTAGGATTCTTCTCATATTTCTAATATTTAAAAATAAATGAAATTTTCACATAATCAAGAAGACAATACAAGTAACTGATAGAATCGGTGAAATCAAATTTGACCCTTTTATATTAGAGACAAGGTCAGGTCAAAGTCATTATCATTTTCCTTGACATTAAGAATAAAAAATATCTGTTGCCAATCATGTGATACCTACTTCTGTTTCAAAAGTTTAATGATTGTTCTTTTTGCATAAAAACATATAACTATATTGGGTCTACAGCATGATATTACCAAATTTACATAAATAATTTAACTAAACTGGATATTGGCTAATCCTAATTTTCTCTGTTTTTTTTTTTTTTTTTTTTTTTTTTTTTTTTTTTTTTTTTTTTAGGATATATTAGTTATTTTCATATGCTTCCTATATTTAACTTTTTCTTATTTTCATATATTATAAAGTTGTCTTACAAATGTACAAAATGATACAAAAAACAAAAAGTTTTGATCGTTTACTAAGAGAGAAAAAATAAATTTTATGGATTTTTGGCTCAAATCTGCACTTTGATTGGAAGCGTTTAAAAGCTAATTTAGTTCTATTTTGTTTGAAAAATCATATTTATTTGATATATTTTGAAAGTTTAGTCCCTCATTATTTTTATAACTTATTTTTGAAAATTTCTCCAAGATTTCGATTGTGTAAAAATTATAACTAAATTCATTGTTCTTTTATTATTTTGAGAGGCAGAAAAGAGGATATTTTCATACGCCACCATTCCGCCAAAAATATAGTCCCTGCTAATTTTCAAAAGCAGTTTACCATTTCTATTTAAAGTTGTACAATTGTGATGAGGAAAGAAAAAATATGATCTTTTAAGGGGTACCGACCCTCTGATATGACAGATAACTCTCAGAGACAGTCAGAGTACAAAACATGAATACTACTCACAGTTTTTTTAATCAGAGTTCCCTTTTTCAGACCTCTGAGTAGTCAATTCGATGAAATCTGGCATGTGACGGAAACATTACTTTCTATTTCTTTTGCCGATCTCAGACAAATTGTTTTATTATATTTTACAATAAAACATTTATATCCTACTTCAAAAGCATTTTAAATTGAATAAGTTGTATTTTTTAAAAGACTATTTTAATAATGGTTTAATGTTTCAAGTACTTAATACAGAATTTTTATAAGTAAGACATTTTTTTCATATGAAGAAATCTTTAGAAGAAAGATAACTCCTCCTCACAGATGTATTTTTTTCTTACAACCATATACAACATTGTAATTTTCTGACTTAGAAAGCATCGCTTCATGATGTTTTCTGACATGATTTCAATAGGTATTATACTAAGTATTATTTTTATATACAACTCATATTTCAAATTAAATGTTATGATAATAAATCGTTACTGTTTCTGTTCTCTATGTTGAAATTTCTTCATATCATAATCTGACATAAGAATCATTTCTGAAAAAATAAGCTGCACTTCTTACATCAAACTATTTTCTATGTGGCTCTAATGTTATTGTTGTTCATGAAAATCAAAATTAGAAATGTGAAATTTTCTGAGTGAAATTTGATAGCAGAGGGTCGGGACCCCTTAAATTAATTACACCTCAATATACAACACATATAAACTTTGAATGTTTCATCTCGTCAGAAACCAGAGAAAAATCCGCCACTGGTTATTTGAGCCATTGTTAAAGGAGATTCGGCCATGATTATATATATTTTACTGCATTTTATTATTGGCACCTATTGATTGCAACTTTTTATGTGCTGCACCACATTTCACTGAACTGTATCATTTAAATATGGCAGCAATGTAATATGTGTAATTACATGTACTCCATATTTGTCCAAAAGTTAGTGCTGGATTAATCTATGTACAGTATTTTAAGCCCGTCTTAAGACGGGACGTATTATGTTATAGGCTTCGTGTCCGTCCGTCTGTCTGTCTAGCTGTTCTTACGAGAGGTACATTGTGGGGTAAAATGAACGTATTCTCCAGCAGTGTGGGTTTTTTTTGTACTGTGGGGTTAACCCCATAATGAAGAGGTCTATTTACGTTCAAAATTACTCTATGAGGTCGAAAAACCTAAAATTAGTTTTAACCTCACAAAGACTTTGTCCAAATTTTGGACATGTCCTTAGCCCAAAACGCTCAGACATTCAGAAATCTGCTGTTTAGAGGAGTTCGGTAATTGAATCGAGGAGTTCCGAATACCTGAACATGCGCATATATTTAAAAACTAACTGCGCATGCGCAGGATACGGAAGTAGCTGCATTTGGCATAGCTTTGAGGAAATTCGGAAACACAAAAAGCAAATGCGGTAAGACTTACTATTTTGATGCACTACATTGAAAAAAAGCTTTGTAAGTTGTTTGACATGCTTCATACGTACATTATGCAGTTGTAGAATTTAATTAAAGTCAAGGAAAGGAAATCTGTAGTCCACATAAACACATACCTATTGAAAACCGGCTTTTGTTTAAACAAATAATTATATATATATAATGAATGCACTGATAGTTCTTTTTTGAATCAGAGGTCTGCAATGAAAATCGACCGACACCCGGGGGTTGGGCTAGTGGTTTTCTGCAAGTAGGTCGCCCCGTTGGCCAGTAAAAAAGATAATCTTATTTATACACATGCAATACATGCAAAGCACAGCTGGTAAGTATTTTCACTCGTTTTTTGCTATAAAAAACCCAACCATTTAAATTTTCCGTATAAAATGCTCCAACTGTCAATAAATCTCCATTATTTAATCCGTGTTGGAGTACTACTTGGCTTATTTTCTTCCAAAAACGATCGTGTTTTTTTCTTAATTCGAATTTTCTCTATACTATGGTAAATACATGCAGATATTTCATAACATAAATACATGTGATTCTTCGAACGGGAGACAAAATCTCTGGATTTTTCACCCCTCTTCCGCCCCTCCTGATTAATTTTTAAATCTTCAGTGTTTAATTTTTTTCCAATTGAATATTTTTGGCTTTAATTTTATCCTGTTTTCGTAATATAATTGCTCTCTCTCTCTCTCTCTCTCACTTTCTCTCTCTCTCTCTTTGAATTCATTCTAGATACGTACCAATTGTTTATCTACTCTTCATTCATTTGTTTACATGTACTTGTAATTGTACCTTAATCTATAGAGAGAAAATCAGAATGGAAAAATGGAATTAACAAAGTTACTGCAAATAAATTTTCATAGCAAGTAGGCTTCGTAGGAATAAACATGGGGTTGTTTAATAATTAAGGTTGTAAAATTCAGTTGTATATCAATTTGAAAAATGACAATCAATGTTTAAAAATGAGTGCAGGACATTTTAATCAGTTGTTAAAATACCCAATATGTCACATTTTTAACACATTCGCTTGTGTAATTATGTTTCCGATAATAAAATTCACCTATTAAAGAAATTAAACAAATTACTTTTAGATACGATTATATAACTTTGTTTGTGTTAATGAAAAAAATATAATTGTCCTGTAAGATCAATTTTTACTTATTTTTTAAGATCGACGATTGAATATTTAAAAGAATTAAATCACAATTAATAGTTTTTCCATAGCTAAACTTAAAGAAATTCAAGCTTAAAGCTACATTTTGTAATTTACAATATTAATTCATCATAACTTTGAATATTTACAATGAGAGTATGTGACTTAGCTAATACAGGGCTATCAGTATTTTCACACTTGTTAGATTTTGATTCCGTGTAGAAGCTCTAATTGCAACTCTTGTCAAAACAAATGTTTTGTATAGCATGATTATCTCCTGAATTTCACTATCAAGAGACGATCGATAGGGATTAGTTACGCTCTACTGCACTTGCAATTGACACCTGTGTTGTAGTAGAATGATTTTAAACTGCGTAAATATAAATCTTTGGTCAATTGAATAATTTTTGGTGTTTGTCTGTATGTTAGATAGAAATTCTGACAGCTTTATAAAAATAATATTAAAAATTTACCAGACTTTAAAAACTTCAGCAAACTAGTTGATCGAGGATTAATTGAGGGGGGGGGGGGGTACACTGCTGATCATTACCTGAACATATGATAGTGAAGTTTCTAAATGGATTTTATTGACACTTACTGAAATAATTTTTTATACTTTATTTAATTCCCCATTAAACTGTCTTTTTATTAAAGCTTGTGTATTTTTTCTTATTAAAAAATAGATAGTAGTAAGGCACATGTATTTCTTCTTGAGGCCAGCATTTTTCTATTTTTAGGTTTATAAACCCGCCGCTCAAGATATTCAATTTTCAGAAAAAAAATAAAATTGAGAAAAACAGAATTTTTTCTTTCCGATGTAAAATTTGAGTCGGGATCGAGATTTCACATTTACGAACTCGTGCTTCCGGTTTTGAAATGAAAATGGCGGTAAATAAAACGTGACAAGATCTGCAAAGTTCATAGTAGAACCATAGCTAGGTTAAATGTAAGAATTTATCGATAGGAGTGCCATTCAAAACGTTGCATCTGTTCAGAGGACAAAAAATGCTGACGACTTTGTTGCACAATGACATGTTGGTGAGAATTATGCATTCGTTTTCAAAAGTATATCTCTTTAAATTTTTTTCATCTCACAGATTTAAAACGGGCCGTGGTAGTTATTCATTGACAGAGAAAATGTTTAGGTCTCTGTTATAGCTTACAGTCCAAGCATGATTCTTTAGAAAAGGGTCGCTTTTGCACCAGATGATCATGTAATGAATTAAATATAATGGCAAAAGTTTATTTGACCAAGAAGAATAGCCTAAAGAAATGAAATGTTTTAACTATTAAAAAAAAACAAGTATATTCAAATAAATACTGCCAAGCATGTAGTATCGTTTTGAATGTGGCAGCCAGAAACATTATTTTACACTCAATTGAAAAAAAAAGAATTCAACCCACTCCTGAATACCCCCTGTCTGTTTTATGATAGGAAGTATTATTTTAGGTTCAAGTATATTTTAGAAAATTAATTTCCACACATTCACCTTACACATATTAAAAACGATGAAGATGTATTGAGTTTTTTAAAAAATGATTTTTTTTAAAATCTGTATTTTTTGACCAGCATCACAATGTTTACATAACTGGCCCAAACTGGTAGACAATGAAATAATCAATAAAGGTTCTCTTTGTAGCCATTATGTGCCCAGTGGCAGGGAGCCTGTTGGAAAAGCACAAAAAAAAAGAAAAAATGAATGTACAAAAGTCGATATTTTATACCAAAATATTTTTTTTTATTTCCTCCTCCTACGGGACTTTTTCATTTTGATGTTCGTAAACCTAAAAATAAAAAAAATGCTGACCCGAATGATACTGTAATTCAATTATCACATATTTGAATCTAACAAAAGAACACTTATGAATGTATGAAGTTTATCTGTTTTGTAGGAACAGAAACATGCACAAAACCTTAAAAATTTGGAATTCGTTTATTTGATATTTTTTAAATAAGCATGGATTATTATATATATACACACATACAAAGGTTTTGTGAAATTGACATGTTTAATTAAATCAACTGTAGTGGTTATTGCTGTTTATTTATTGACCGACTGGCTACTTCTTGGGCAAACTGGAATAAGACGCCACCTGTCTTAAGTGGCTAGTTTCCGGACTTCCAAAAGGGGGCCTCTTAAAACAAGTTTGACTGGACTTTTTCACCTTTTACCAATATAAGAAAGTAGTTTACTGTACATGACAACTATGCTATAAATAAATTTCGATGAATTTTAATTAGTAACTCGGAATTTTTGTATGTGTTATAAATAAACATTTGCTTCTTTATTCCTTTGTAGAGTTTAGATACCACTGAAAGTGAACATCAGTGGAACTTTGATGATCTAGGCCACTCTATTTGTTGCAGCAACACCAGCAGGCGTCGGCCATTCATAAAGTTGAAAGAACAAACCTATGACTTGAACACACAATTTGTGATCTGAATATAGTTCACAAATTTAAGGAAAGCAACTATTAAGGTCATTCAGATCAATGGTTGGTACATGTTATAAGTGCCCATAAAATCAAGACAACAATATTATTTTACAATGAATTAAAATATAACCTTTAAAAAAATTCAACATTATCATTTAAAAATATATTTTACTGTATTTTTTTTTGACAGGTATACATGAAGTATGAGTAAAAGACTTTTAAGAAGAACAAGCACAATCCCGATTCATTCTTGCCATTACCTTCCCCAGAGGGCGACATTCAGGACCTGACTTTTCAGAAAAAGAAGATGAATCGATTTTTGAAAGTTGATCTAAAATTGATAACATTTACATGGGTCGCGGAAAGTCAGCAGGTATAGACTTGATTGGGCCTCGTCTTCTAAAGCTTTCGGCAAATGTTATATGCAAATCTATTACACATCTTATAAATACTAGCATCACTAATGGAGTATTTCCATCCCGTTTAAAACAAGCAAAAGTCACTCCTATTTTCAAAAATGGCGACCATGCAGATCCAGGAAACTACGGACCAATATCCATTCTTCCAACATTATCAAAATTAGTTGAAAAACACATAGCCAATCAGATACGTAACTTTACCTCTACCTTTGATCTCTTATTTAAATCACAATCTGGATTTCGAGAATTTCACTCCTGTCAAACGGCTCTAACTTAACTTACAGATAATTGGCTACAAGCTATGGACCAAGGAAATTTAATAGGCATAACTTTCATCGATTTTAGCAAGGCATTTGATTTGGTTAATCATGATATCCTTATAAATAAACTTCAATCATATCACTTTGACCAAATGGCTATTAAATGGTTTCAATCTTATTTAACGTCAAGGTCTCAGTGTGTAAAAATAGGTACACACTCCTCTGATTCTTTGCCCGTCACAGCAGGAGTGCCCCAAGGATCTATATTAGGTCCCCTATTATTTTTATTTTTTATAAATGATCTCCCTTTACATGTAAATAGAACAGATATTGATATGTTTGCTGATGATGCAACCTTACATACATATCATAAAAATATAGAAGGTATTGAGAATGCCCTAAACTTTGATTTGTGTGAGATAGAAAAGTGGTGTTCCAAAAATCAAATGGTGTTAAATACCAACAAGACAAAATGTATGCTCATGGGAACTCAACAAAGAAAATCAAGAATAAATTCTACGGAACTAAATCTATATGCTTCTAACAAATTAATTGAAAATGTTGAATCTGAAAAGCTTTTGGGAGTACATATTGACCATTCATTGCGCTATAATTATCATATTGACTCAGTTTGTAAATCTTTGACTTATAAATTGTATACTTTACGCAGAATTAAAAAATTTTCCACCCTTACACACGAGAAAACTATTTTATAATGCATACATTCTGCCTTCTTTGAATTATTGTCTTACTATTTGGGGTAATGCGCCAGATGCTGGCATAGATAGAGTTTTTAAATTGCAAAAAAGGGCAGCCTGGATTATTTTAGATATGGCTTATAATGCCCCTTCACTACCATTATTTGAAAAACTTGGGTGGTTGACCACATATGAGTTAATTGATTTTCATAAATTTATATTACTGTACAAAACACTTCATGGTATGGCACCAACTTATTTAAGAGATTCCTTTGACTTTATTTCTTCTAATAGTTATGTTCTTAGATCTGAAACAAACTATGACCTTCATCTACCGAAATATCGAACAAATCAATTTAAGAATTCTTTTCATTATTCCGGTGTTCATTTATGGAACAAATTACCCTTGCATATTCGTTTTTCACCAACTGTACAAACTTTTCGTAAAAATGTTGAAAAATTCATTATAACATGTCGCAACTAAAAGTTATATAATTCCATGTTCTTGAATCGATCTGTATATGTCCTTGTATTTTCATGTCATGTTGTATTACATGTATTTATTATAATATTGTACAATGTTTTAATAATTGTATTATTGTGCATGTGTTTAGAGGGCCCCGAGGAAGACTAGTGCATTGCACTAATCGGGTTACCCTCTTTAAATAAAGTATTATTATTATTATTATTATTATTATTATTATTATTATTAAGATGAAACTCATGTGGAATCATCCTCAGGTATTGTAGATTCAAGTTTATTCAAATCATGACCCCCGGCCCTGGGGATAGGATTGGGCCAAAATGGCCGACCCAAGTTTAACATAGGAATATATAGGAAAAATCTTTAAAAATCTTCTTCTCCAGAACCACTGGGCCAGGAAAGATGAAACTCATGTGGAATCATCCGCAGGTATTGTAGATTTAAGTTTATTCAAATCATGACCCCCGGCCCTGGGGATAGGATTGGGCCAAAATAGCCGACCCAAGTTTTACATAGGGATATATAGGAAAACCTTTTAAGGGGGCCCTTTACAACGTCACAACATGGCGTACTTCCGTAAAAACGCCATTTTGATCCCAAATGATCAGATACAAATTCACTTAACACCGATAAATCACTGAGTATAACACAACATGTGATATTGTGGATGGAATGTTCTTTATATCACATCAATTAATATGAAGTGTATTGCCCAATACTTATCCTTTCTTTAAAAATGAATTGTTTGTCAATTTATTCAATTTCTACTTATTTAATTATTAAATAATACATTTACAAACTTATTAGAATAAGATTTTTAGGTGAGAAAAAAATGATATAAACATGGTTTGTCCATATGCGAATTCATCATTACGTGTCAAAACTCCATACACCCAGAAATTTCTTTCTTCAACAAGCATATATGCTTTCCAGCAAAATATATCCCCCAAAATGCAAATTTGATCAGATAAAACATATGTATTATCTTCCTATCGACTAGAGGATACCCTGTTCACAATTTGTATACACCCGAATGAATGGTTATACCCGGTGAAATTTCGCATGACCCAAACGTTTGATCAACATTGATTGTCAGCTGTTTACAAGTATGGTAAACGTGCAGGTTTTAGACGAATTGTGCATTTGGTGATAGGAATTTCTTTTACCATTTTTGGTCATTTACCATCTTAACTTGTTTTGTTATATATAGCACTGGATAACACATGCAAGTTGGATAAAACGGTAAGTAAATCTACCTTTCTCAATACCATGAATTCACTAAATACATGTCTTTTGTCATTGACTGGAAACGCGATGATTTTCGCTTAAAGTAATAATACATGTACAATAAGAATTTCTTTCAATATCCTTGCGTGACATTTGTTTAATACTTGTGCAAGTAGAGTTTATTTGAATTTATTAAAAAAAAAAGTACCAAGATATTTGAGTCCACTCTTAAAGCGGATCTCTCACACCTGAATTTTTGTGATGTTTATAAATTTTTGACAGTTTTTAATTTTTTTCAATTTTTTTTTTCATTGTTTTTAACCTTTGATATTATATATCTTTTCAGATATTGAAGAGGATCCAACCAGCTGTTCTCAAGAAAATGCTGTTTTAGTTTTTCTTTTGTCTATTTTTGTAATTTTAAATAAAAATTATGTTGATTTTATTTTTAACTTTGTTGGTTATTATTTCAATATTTTATAACTTTGAAGAGAAATTTTAAGCAATGGGCATTTTAAAAAATTGATAGGAGGGATTTTAACAAAATAAATGAAATATTTCAAATATTTCTAAATAATAGATTGAAATACTTTGGAACCTTATTTTATCGGATATGGGGCCTATTAGTAGAAACAAATGCATGCAACAAAAATCAGTTATACTTTATAGGTGTAGAGAGCCCCCTTAAAATCTTCTTTTCAAGTACTTCAAAGCTATGATTAATGATATTTATATGGAATCATAGGAGGTGTAGATTCTAGTTTGTTCAAATGATGAACGCCTGGAAGGGGGGGGGAGTACATTCAAGCCCGATGTGCTCAGGTGAGCGCTGTGGCCCCTAGGCCTCTTGTTTAATTAGCGATCTCATTTTAAATGTGAGAAATAATTATTAAACTAATATGTACATTAATGTTGTTTATTATTATTATTTTTTTTTTTTTGAAAATTATAAATCAATTGCTTTTTGTTGTTTTTTTTTCATTTAATTTTAGGGGATGGGAGTGGGAGTGCAGCTGTAAGTTTGAGTATATTTTCCAAAAGGATGTACATCGTTACTTTTGTTTTAAGATCAATTTTAAAATGCAAAATGATGAGATATTAGACTACACTTTAAAAAAAAAACTTCATTTGAATTAATATATTTTGTTTAAAATAAGTAGCAATAACATTCAAGTTTTAGAGTTATTTGACAACTCAATATATACTTGTTTTTTTTTTTTTACATCTATGAAGATTGTCTCAAATTTTGATGTTTTTTTCTGTGTTCTACATTTATTGACATGTTTCTTATCTGTGTTCAACTTGTCGAGTAACTGAAAAGTTTAATTAAATTTTTTTAAAAAAATCAGTATCATCTCTTTTATTTATTATTATTAATTTACAATGAAATTATGTATGCTTTTGATGCATAATGTACACTTCAAATTCATGCACCAGCAGATTCAAAGGAAAAATTTTCATTTAGAAATAAGCAGTAAAGATAAAGAGATTATCCATTTAAAAATAGTTTGAAAAATATTTAAAACAAATTTTCGAGTATGTTATCAAAATAGGAAAAAGTATTATGAGTATTGTTTGATATTTTTAATAGTAAAAAAAAGGATATGACGTACTGGCAATCGCATCATCTCACTCAGGGTCTTTCCGTCAGAGTTCGGAAAAACAACCTCGAATGCATTAACATCTCCTAATGTTAAAGCTTATGCTTTTCTTTTTTTTTCAAATATAGGATAGAGGAAGTAAGAAGTCCCTTTTATAGTATATTTTATGTAATATCATAGCATTGAATAAAGTTAAACTCCATATTCTACAGATGAAAGGTCTTCCTAATACATTCGAGGTTGTTTGTCAGCTAGTCAGAAAGGCTCGAGAAGTTGCGATTGAACATAGTGGGGGTACTTGTTCTTTTATTACCAGTCTCTGGTAGAGTTTTTTGATATTAGAACATACTGGGGTTTTCAAACACTTAAATTCATATGGTTACTGGTATCTGTTACATGAGAACACAGCGGGTTTGTTTGTTTAACACTCTGAGGTTACTAAGATGTCTGATATTTTCTATCAGAACATATAGGGGTTCTTGTCTAACACTTTGTTGGGTTAATGTTATCTTTCATCTATATAAGAACATAATGGGGTTGTTACACTTTATGGAATTAGTGTTGTCTATTATCTTTATGAGAGCACATAGTGGG